AATTATCAGCATTATCTCTTCAAGCCAATCCCTACATAGTTATGGAGGAGGGAGCTTTGGGGACCCCTAGTTTTCTCCTCTTCAATTAATGCTAATTGGGAACATGGGGACGCAAGCCAAGATGTCAAAGAAGCTGCTCTGGAAATAGTGATTAGAAGAGTCGGTTTCCCAGATCTGATCAGGAGACGTTTGCCTGAATCCCATGTTCATTTTGCACATTAACAGAAGGCTCTGTGGGGTGTACTAGCTGGGACTCAGGAGGCCACAGCTTTATTCTAAGCTCCTCTACTAATCACTCAGGTACAAAATGGGTCATAGCCACTAACCTCAACTTTTTAATATGTAAAATAAGAGTCTAATTTCCCTAACTCCCTCTGGCCTCATTTGGAACACAGTAAATAATACCTACTTCTAAGATTGTAAAGAGAATTTAGCACAGCTTTAATTTAGTATATCACAGGTGCTAAAACAGTAAAAACTACCTTTATGGACTGCTATTTTTCTTAGTATCATAGGCATATGTAGTATCTTAAAAAACACAAATAGATTATTCTAAAATTTTTAAGAGTATTAGGTCCCGGAAGTTTTTTTTACAAAGACTTTCCCCATCTTTTCTCCTTTTATCATGCCTACATCTTGCAATCTAAACAACTACTTTGAAGATGACAATATATATTAACTAGTGTTAATTCCCTATTATTATTTTGTCTCAAAATTCTTTATTGTTTTTACTTTTTTATGTTTTTTTAAAAGAGATAAAATCCAAAATAGTTTTCAGAGTCTTATTGCCCTTTAAGAAATTCAAAGATACAGTCTAAAAATAGGCAGCAGAGATGAATACACACTCCTCAGATGAAGAACTAGAAATGGCAAATAAATATATGAAAAAATGTTCAACATCATTTGTTATTTGAGAAATGCAAATTAAAATAACACTAAGATTTTAAGCCTGTTTTTATTTTTCTCTCTTTTCATTCCATTGGTACATCTCCTAAAATAATTATATATATATATATATATATATATATATATATATATATTAGGTTATTAAATATTTCTCTCAATTTCTTTTTTTGAAGCTAGTAAGTTGTGTGTTATCTGTTGGAATGCCAGCAGAAAATATTTTTCCATATGAACTGATTTTAAGAAAAAGGAATGGAGCAATGTGAATCAAAGTTTCTTTTGTTTCCTTTATCCTCTACCCCAGTCTGTGAATTGAAGCATTCTGTGAATTTCCTATTCTTTTACTCTATCTTTTAGGAACATCTCAGTGAGTCCATGAAAACAGCAGCCTGGAGTCCGTAAGAGAGCTATGAACACTCCAATCTTGTTTTGTGCTCTCCACTGTCTTTAAGCCAAAAGCACTGTTTAAGAGAATAGGCTTATCAGGAACCTCTTATCAGATAAGTGCTCTTCCACTACTTGCAAGGTTCCTATACTTTCATGATATAAAACACAGCCCTTTTACTTTTATTTATGAAAAATGCAGAAAAACTTGACTTCAGCCATTCATATAACCCAGCCTCTTCAATATAAATTAGAACACTTAAGTGTCATTCTCCTTTCCCTATATTTGGGGAGTGATTTATATATTCATAATGACCTTCTAATTCATATCAAGCCCTGATGTGTCAACTCTCAATGACAGGGTTATGACTTAGGTAGTATTTAAACCAAAAGCAATTTGTAGCAGACCTTCCCCTATTCAGGAGCACTGATGCTTTGAGCTGCTGTATATTTATGTCCCACTATTGGCAGTAACAGATGCCTCTTTGGAGATCTCCTGTCACTGTTACTCTGTGAGCAAACAAAAACAAATGATTGAGTAATTCACCCTTTCCTTTTTGATGCTTTCCCATCCTTCAAGATGTGGTTAAGTCTCACGAATAAAAAAGTTGTAATATCAGATCTTTCAGGTATGGGCAAGTTATAAGTGAATGTAAAAAATCAGCTATCACTGTTTTCAGGACAATAAATTGTTTACAAGAAAGAAACAGCTTAGTTTCTATGGCTCAGGGCACCAAAAGCTAAGAACATTTATCGGAGGAATCTCAGAACTGTTTTGTAACTTGTCTCTCTAGAGGGCAGCAAAGTGTGAAGAAGCCAATACATGTACATTTTTAATTAGTCAAAAAGTATTTTTCAATATTCTTTCAAAATACTGCATTTTCTCAGCCTTATACAAGATGATAGCATACTAAAATTTAGTCTTTAGACAGTTTTCCTGGACTTATATCTCTATTTGTAGCAAACAATTATTCATATATTTCTGGAAAAACAATGTCTTGAGGACTAGATTTCTGTAGAAGACCTTCCAGTAAGATGATACCTCTGAAGATTTCTGTAGAGAAAGATGTGAATGCCCCACTTGTAACTATGAGATCACAAGGCAGCTTGCTCTGACAAAGCCCAAACCCTGCCCAACCAATGAATCAGATTTGAGTCCTTCAATAAAGGAATTAAGAAAATATCTTAGTGTCACTAGGAAGCTAGATCATAACACAGGAAGGAGCAGGCAAAGCTAATCCCTAGTTCCTTTTGACTGCAATGAAAGACTGCAGATAAGAAACAATGGGCAATCATACAGAGATATGTAGTGTCTTTGAAACCCTTACATTTTCAAACTGACAGAGAGAGTGTACCTTCATGTGTGAAGGTGGGCAAGTGCCAACATGGCAATTGCACTGAATGAGAATTCAGGTTTCTTTTACATGATTAAATGGGTCTTCAGGACTACCTTTTCCCTCCCCCAAGGTCACTGTTCTTGCATAGAGAAAATGGGCTGGGTTAACCAATTTCAGAGGCAAAATTTATGCTTTTGCCTAAGTTAGAATGTTTCCACTTAGTTTATTTTGAGCCTTTAAAATGTTTTCAAAACTTCACCCATAGTCTGGACCTTGTGAGCACACTCAGAGGAAGTAGTATTTTCTTAGGCTAAAATTTGAAACCATAAGCTTGTTTGGATTTTGTCTATAGTTAATAACTAAGAAAACGAAGTTAATAAGACAAAATCATAGTTTTGCTTTTCATATAGCCCTCAGATGCCTGCTTCCCGACTAAGTCTAACTTTTGCATAACATTCAGATTTTACAGATTCATTAAAAATACACCCTGACATGAGGCAGAAGTAAGCCAAAATTTAACTGGTACCAAAAAGGAATTATTGTGACCAGTTAATGAGAAAGTCATTGCAGGCCATAAATGCATCCAATTACAGAGCTTCAAAGTCAAAGGCAAAAACAATACTAAATAGAGTATAACACACATCAAGTCATAGTTAGATATTTAAAACCTCTAATTCAATATTGACACAGAGAACAAGAAAAAGAGAGAACTGAAAAAATCTTCACACCATTTTTAACGGGTTGAAAATAGCTGGGGACTACATGTTCTCTAAAAGCACACAAAGAAGCTCATCAAAGTGAAATATGTACAGAGACTTAGTGAAACTTTCAGTAAAGTTTATACCTGAAATTTCAGCATACATGGCACCACCGCATGACTAAATCGGGCTCAAGATCAAATATAATGAAAACCCTCAAATCTCTTGATGTCATAGAACACATTTGAAAATAAAGTGCTAAAAATACATATCAATAAATATTGAGACAACAAATACACATTCAATAAAACTTAGAAAACATAGTAAAAGACCAAATCTGTTGAGTTAGGAAGTTAAGACGGGCAAACAACTGGGCAAAATCTCTCCTGGAGATCCGGGGCACATGTGCACAACACATGAGCCAAGACGACTCTTCAATTCCTAAGCACTATACACAGAATCAGTTAGAAAAATATTATTTTCAATTCTTCATTTCCATCTGGCAAGTTGAGCAAGTCTTCTACATGGCAGTTTAAATTTGGTGCCTCATCAAGTGAGTTTCTGATTTGTATGATTTGTGCCTGATCTGCATGAAGGAGAAGCCAATCTAGAAATTCCAGATATCAAATCCCTCCTTCCTTTATCTTTGTGGCCATGGAAAGTCTATTCACAGGCCCACTTTCATTCTGAAGAGTGTATTTCTTTTCCATCTTCAATAAGTATACAGACTACTACCTATTTTGTGTGTCTTCTCCAATTCTTTGTTCATGACACAAAACTCCTGGAGAGAATTTCCCAGTGCCCTTCATCTGATAACACCTACAGGAGAAAGTAATTCTTTGTTTATGCTAAAAAAGAAAAGACTGTATTTGATGCAAGTTTACATCTTTATATTAGAAAACAGAGACCAATGTAAACAATACATAGTACATTCAAATAAAACTATCAATATATAAGGATATATATACACAATATCAGACAAAATAATAAAGAAAATAAATATATTCAGAGTTGGTTTTTGTAAAATATTAATTGAGGTGCCTTAATGAATACTGTGTATCAGTTTAAGCAGCTGAGACTCATGCTGATAAATTTTGTTATGAGCTTTATACAGAGCAGGTGTAAAAGAGTTTTGTTTAGATGATCCCCACACTCTCTCTTCTTCCATTTCTTTTGTCTGACACTACATGTTTTAGTCATTCTTCTCACTGGAACAAAACACCTGACACCCACAATTTAAGAAAGACATTTTTGTTTCTGCTCACAGTTTCAGCACAGTTGACCAGCTCCAAGGAAGAAACAGAACAGCAGAGGGGCATGATAGAGAAAAAAGTGTTCAACCCGTGGCTGTCAAAGGAAGACAGAAACCAGAGGAGCCAGGGATAGATATGCACCCTTCCCAGTCCTGCCCTTGGGCACCCATCTCCCAGTAGTCTCCACTTCCTAACAGCTCATCCAGTCATGAATTCATAAGTGGGTGAATCCACAAATGAATATACTGCCTGCATGATACAATCAAGTTTCACAAATGTTGGATATTCTCTCACCTAAAATGGTTTTTCAAAAGAAAAGATACTAGTGGCCAAGTGTTTGTGCTAAGATATTGAAAAAAACGAAACTGTTGTTTCTCTAGCTCAGGAAAATGAAACTCAAAAGCAGTGAAGGGAGGAGTCTGACACTGCTTCCCTTTTCTCCTGTGCGGAGAACTGTGAGACATACAGCACTGCTCAAGTTTAAGTGACTCTATCCTGTGTTCTTTTATTTTGTTATCTTTGGAAATATTCCATTTTCTTAGCATTTCAGGTTACTAGAGCATTCTACTTTTTGCTATCTGTGAGTTTTACTGTTTCATCTTTCTCCTCAAGCAACATTAGCATTGCTTCCTACTCTGCTGAAGATCTCAAGAACTGGGATACTATCAGAGCAATTTCCAAAGAGGTGAGTACTAACAGTGCTTTCTATAGAGAAGATCCAGTCCTTGCAATCCAGGTCAAGAGAAAAGTGGTAATCCATAGGAGTCCAGCTGATATCAGCTGCATTCAGAAAAACAGATAAAATACATAGCTTTATTGTTGAGCAACTGAGCCTTGGGTAAAGGAAAGTGCATTCTAGCTACTTAAGATTGTAAATCAATTTTCCAAGTGTGGGTTGGCACAAGTTGATATTAAGAAGATCTTGACTATCTTGGCTGGGAAATGGTGGCTTTGGTGAAGGGATGTGTACAAGACAAAAAAGCCACATTATAAAGTATCATGAAACAAAATTAGGTAAAAAACATACATTGACATAAACTGCATTGTATGATATCATTCCATTTTTATCAGATATGAGAACAAACACACACATAATAGAAAATCTTCAGTTTCAAGTGCATAATATGTAAATATTTTCATAAGAATACTTACTTTTACTTTAGCTGTACTCTACACCAGATAGAGGTTACACGTAAGTCACATTTGGACAATCAGAAAATGGTTTTTACAATCTATGATAATATAGATGTCTTTTTAAGATTCTGTTTTATGCATTAAGAAATATACACAGAGAAGCTGGGTTAACAATATCACTTTCATTTTTATCTATAAAATATCATATAGCTTTCCATAATGATTTTATTTTTATTTATAAAATATCATACTGCTTTCCATAATGATTGTACCAATTTAACTCCCACTTCAAAATATAAGATTTTTCTTTTATTAACATTCTCGCTAGGATTTATCTTTCAAACTTTTGCTATCCTACCCAATAGCTATCCTAACAAGTGTGAAGTGATATCTCACTGTGACTTTGATATATTTGATAATCTTGATGTTTGTATATATTATTGCCCATTTGTATGTCTTTTCAAAAACGACTTTCAAATCATTTATAAATATAGATTAAGTTGGCTTCTTTATTTCACGGCTATTGAGCTGCCTGATTTCCTACTATGTTTTGGATATTGACTCCCTTTTGGAGTCACAAAAACATTCTTCCATTTGGTAAGATAGTATATCTTTTCATTTTGTTTATTCCCTTTTTTGATGTGCAAAAAATGCTTCATTTAATGTAATCTCACTTATTATTTGTTTTTCTTGCTTGTGGCTTTGGTGTTAAATATGAAACAATATTTCTGAGACCAGTGTCAAGGATCCCCACCCTTCCATTTTCCTCTAGCAGTTTGACAATTTCAGGTGTAGTGTTTATATTGAATATTCTTGGAATAATTTTGTTTATATTAGGAAAAAAAGCAAAATTTAATTCCTTTTTTTAACATGTGACTGTCTAACTTCTTTAACACCATTTATTGACATGTCTATCCTTTTCTTTTTGTTTATTCTGGTTGATTTTATTTAAAATTAGCCCACGTATTTGTGGGCTTATCTCTGTGTCTTCTGTTATGTCCTGTTGGTTCCCAGATTATGTCTGTTTTATTCCAAGATTACTTTTCTACATTTGGAGAAATAACATGAGAGTAGTTTGATAAATATTTCACTAAATTTGTAGATAACATTCCTTAATATGTTTCTGTTGATAATATATTCTGCTCTAAGCCATGAATATATATTTCCACTTACTTGAAATTAAAATTTCTTTCACCAGTACTTTATAGTTTTCAGAGAACAGATCTGTTATCTCTTAAAAACCCAACATTCATGATTAAGTTTGTTTCTAATTTTTTTTTATTTTTGATGTTATTAAAAACACAATTGCTTTCTTCTATTCTTGTCAGCGTAAGGTAATTTATTGACAAATGCAACCTTTTGTTGATTTTCTAACCTATAAATTTAATTCATTCATTTATTCTAGCAGCTTTTTGAAGTTTCCCATGCTTTCTACATATAAGATCATGCCATCGTCTTTTCAAATTTATGTACATATTATTCCCTTTCCTTGTTAATTTATCTGTTTAAGACTTTTAGCAATATGTTGAAACAAAGTGGTTTTGCAGACATTCTTGTCTTGTTCCTCATCTTACAGGAAAAGCTTGCAACTTGGCACTGTTGAACTGGATGTAGGATTGTAAAATATAGATTTTATTCTGATAGACATATTCCTTTTGTACTTAATTTTTGAGATAATTTTATCATGAAAAAATGTTGAATTTTATATAACTTTTCTGCATCTGTTGAGATGATCATGTTATTGTCCTTCATTTTGTTAATTTAGTATACCACATTTATTGTTTTGTATGTATTGACCTATACTTAAATCACATGATTCATGGGATATACTTTTCATGAACTGTTGAACTTATTTTGATAGTGTTTTGTTGGGCATTTTTACAACTGTGTCCATCAAAGATACTGGCCTATTGTTTTCTATTATTGTAGTGATTTCGCATGACTATGATATTTAGGGTGATTTTGATCTTGTAAACTTTGTTTAAAAGTGTTTCAACTTTTTAAAAATTTTTGGAAGAATTTTAGAAGGGTTGGCATTAATTTATTTTAAAATATTATGTATAATTCATGAGTGAAGTCATTAAGGGCAGGATTTACTATAATGAGAGACTTTTTCAAACTAATTTAATAACAATCGTTATTCATCTTTTCAGATTTTCTATTTCATCAGTATTTACTCTTCGTAATATGATTCTACATTTTCAAAGTTGTTCAACTTTTGGAAGTATAATTTTATTGTAGTTCACTATTGCTCTTTGAACCGTATCACATTTAATTTTTCATCCCTTCCTTCTTAATATTGTTTGACTTTTTACTTCTTTTCTTAGTCTAGCTAATATTTTGTCATTGAATACTAGAAGTTATTCCACTTGTCAAGCAATAGCATTGTACCCATCAAATTTGGTTGTTTCATGAAGGCTGTTTGTTCTCAAGCTCTATTTTTCAAGAAGTTCAGTAAGCATAGTCAATACAGACATGAAAAGGGAAGCTGCCCTCTATAGCTCTGGAGTTTGTGCGTGAGAATTGAGAGGTAAATCAGAAACACAATATTGAAGTTAGTCATGGTAGGCTAAAGAATATTTTCCCTAAATAAGATACAGAACTAGTCGATGGTTTCCAGTAGACTAGAAATATGAATTGGAGAAATCAATTGAAAGCAACTTGATAGAAAATTAAGCCATGAAGGCGGAAAATGGAGCAACTAGCTTAAATATAGTAATCAGTAAATTATTTTAAATATAAAATCAATAATTTATATGTTTTGCCCTTGGGAATAGGTCAGAGTCCCAAAAAGGAACAGTGATAGTTCTACTGAGCATATAAGGAAGTAAGTTCGTTGCCCAGCACAAAGTTAAGCAGATTATTACAGAAAAGCTAAGTTGCCAAAGGTCAGTATCCCAACATGGAACTACAATGCTATGGCAGAAAATTATTCATGTAGAAGCTAAAAAGCCAGAGCCCATTTTGTACACAGGCAAAGAAAACATAGTGAATGTGGGAAGCTTTGATCCAACATATGGATATCCAGGAAAAGAAGGGTCCATACCAAAATGCAAAGAAGAAAAGTCAAGGGCATGTCTTTCAGTACTTTGACGTGGGTCATTCTTTCACACAGCCATACCTTGTTTTGTAAAACTTTCTATATTTACGAGTAACACTGCATGCTAATTATCTCTTTCAGGGTCACTCTTACCTTGAAAAATGGTGAATAAATACAAACAAATTGTTCTGCTGAAAGGACTAGAGCCTATCAGTGATTATCATTTTTCCATACTTAAGTCCTTACTGGCTTCTGAATTAAAACTGACACAAAAAATGAAAGAGAAATACAACAAAATCCAAATTGCTGACCTGATGGAAGTGGTGTTCAAGAATGATGCTGGAGTGCGCAAACTCATAGACTTGCTTAAAGAAATACCAGAACTTCAAAAAATTACTGAAGATCTTAAAAAAGAAATAGCAAGAGGTAATGGGGAAAAGAGCTTTCTCTCTCTCTCTCTCTCTCTCTGTCTCTCTCTCTGTCTCTCTCTCTCTCTCTCTCTCTCTCTCTCTCTCTCTCTCTCTCTCTCTCATTCTGTGCTACCTTATCTGCAACCTCTACACATTGAATAAAACCCACGTTGGTCATGGTTTATCCATTTCATTCTCAATGTATGCCTCAGTAGCCATGGTGATGTGCACATTACATGACGATCAACTGAGAACTTTGAATATTTCCTTTCCACTACATTGCTATATTTTATGTTTGAGCTTTGGATAAAATAAATTGAATAATGGATAGGTTTTGAATACTATAGACAGGTTAGAAAATAACGTATAACACTATAAAAAGCATGGTTTAGATTTTAATTATATCTATTAACCAGTTGTTTTACTTCTTCTATTAAGACTACATTATCATCATTACCATCTCTAGTAACAAAGATAGGACAGTTCTTCATAGTAAAGCATTCTCAGAAGACAGGAAGAACATCTTGTTTTTGTAAATATACTGAGATTTCTCAAAGCGGGATTTAAAAAACTCAAATTCCATAATCATCACACCTTCCTTAGCAATCATATTATGTTTCCTTTTACTGCTCTCTGTAACTTCAGTGCATTATGCAGAAAACATCAGGTCAACAGCATGAAACCCTTAGACTTTAAAAAAGAAATGATAGGTGAACTGGACTGAGAAAAGTTTGACTGCGGTACATGGGATTCAGAGGTTGGGGACACCTTTCTCACTTCATATGGGACAAGAAAGAAAAGCACTGAGGAATATGTGAGTGTGAGTCTCTTTGCAGCCAGGTCAAGCTACTGTGGTCAGGTATATGTGGCCCTAGATCCCTAAGCAAAAACCAGGGTGAATAATAGCGAAAGTGTCTTTGCTATTCTAAACCACTTGCTCTGGGTTCATGATGTGTTCTTTTTTATATATTTGTTGTGAGGAGAAGTGAGTCCACTTTACCAAAGGGGAAAACTGCAGTGAAAGCTAAGAAGCAAAAAGAGGCAGCTCCCACTACACAGACATCAACACCAAGCAACACGGTGGAAGAGACTCATAACACTCAGGTGAGCTGGGAGAGGAAGCTTGGAGGGCTTGTGGGCCTGAAGCCCATGGAAGAATCTCTAAACTAGCTCTTCCCCTCAGATCTTCTTCAGGTAGTTACTTGACATTAGTTTCCCATCAGGTTTTATATTTACTAGACTGCATAATAATTGATTATATGGCATAAAAATCTTTTCATTCCTAATATACAAATGTATTCATTAGAATTGGTTAGAAAAATATTTTCCATGTTTGTAAAATCTTGGTTTTTCTAGTTCCAAATCAGTCACATTCCACCATAAAGGCAGTTAGAGGAAACACGTATATCAATTTGTCTCTCCCTTTGCTTACTGGCCCCATGTGTGTCCCTATCATATATTTGGCCAGGCAATGGGCAACACTTCCTCAGGTTCTAAGAGAAACATTTTTAGACATAATATACTGGCTACCCAATAACGAATACTGTGTTCTGAAAACTGAACTAATTTCAGAAACGAAAAAACACAAACAAAGAAAATCCTGCTAGGAAAAAGAACAAGGTCTGTGAGGAGCAGGCTCAACCTGCCCACCCAGTGGAAGCTGACACATCCACCGCTGCAGGCCTCTGTTTACCTCCTGTGGTTCCATCATCCACCCTGTTTGGAGCTTCCGTCCCTGAGGTATGTACTGCTGGGTCTGCCCTTCCTGCCTTTTATTCAGCCCAAATACAGGAATCAGACCTTGAAATTCTGATCTCATCTCCTACTAGAAAAAGAACCCCTACAGTTAGTGAATTAATCAAATTAGACATATGTAATTATTACATACAATGTTGGAGTATATAGAGACACATATAGTGTATGCATTCATGTATACACTATATGTGTGTAAACATATATACAGTAGATAGATAATAGAGATAATTCACTACTTTGTAGCCTATCACTTCTACAGAAATGCTTAATGAAAAATTATTCTTTCTGACTGCAGGAAGTTCTCTGTCCTATGCTGACTCCAGATATATCAATATGCTTACAGCAGTAGGTTCATTTCCTCCTTCTCCAATCTCTGTCCCATCTCCTCCTTTAGTTAGTAAATCTGTGAAATTCCCTGAGCACAGCTCATGCCTCCTTCTTCTTCAGGATTTTTACACACCATATAGTTCTTCCCCCTGGAAATGCCTTGAGTACCACTATCCACTTTTACTACTGATATCCAGTATTGATGAGTCCCAAAATTGATAACTTGTACTCAGGAAATTCTGAGGACATTCCCACAAGGTAAAACATTCCTACAAGGTAAAACATTTGTTGTGTTCACTTTATATAGGTAGGATCTTATACCGTCTTACTTCTGTGACAATACAGTTAATGTTATCTCCTTATTTGACTGTATGTTGTAAGATTATGACTAACCCCAGAGCTCTGCATGATGCCTGGAAGTACCGAGTATGAATCAGCACAGCTGATGAACACTGGGAGTTCATCATCTAATCCAGCCAAGAGAGGGATGATCTCTTGTGAGATGTGAAAAGTGTAAAAAAGATAAACTAGTTCAATAGGTTGGAAGTCAAGGAAGTTGGAAATAAAAATTCCAGGCAGAGAGATCTTACACTGAGACTTGGAGTTACAAGAAAACATAATACAACTTATATTTATGTGTTAATTCTTATTAGACTATATTACCTTCAAACTGGATGTGTCGGCTTTTCATAATATCAGGAATAACTGTCATTTTAGTAACATATGAAAAATTTAATGATTATTATTCTAAAGGAGGGAGTATTTTTTTCCTGAGTACATACTGAGGAAAATATTATGGATCATGGAAAGAAAATTCACAACTCGAACTGTCAACATGCTCTCTCTTTCTCCTTCTCTCTCTATATTTTTCTATGAAGTAATGCACAATTCTTGTAGTACTTGAAAAAATGATTTCTATCTATTAGTCAAATTAAAATGAAAACATAAGTGATTTTCAATTACCCAAAACACTGCCAATCAAATATTACCATTTTCTTACATATATTCTCCTAGTATTTTTCATTTGTACTCCCTGTACAGTATCCTACAATGATTGCTGCTTTATTGCTTGTTGTATCTATTTAACATATCAAACTACCTTTCTAAATCCATAAGAAAATAATGACTAGTCAATGCTAAAATCTATAACTAGAGAAGAATTTTTTAAAATATTTCTATATAGAATGACACACTACTGTCAAAATTTTGATGTCTCCTCACTGAACACATTTGTCCCCTGAAACTTCTTTTACTCCTTCAGAGTAGTCAAATGATTGATTTTGTGCATATCCTGTGACTTTTCTGTCAATTTGAATCTTCCTGTTACTAATGCTTTTCTTACATAGGACTTAACACTACCAACTATATTGCTTTACAAAAACTATTCCTGGCAATAATTAATTGATTGCATTCATGAAAAATCAGATCCTAGTAAAACTCAATCACTGCAAGCTCTGACTATACACAAAGTGCCATGACAGGCACTTCCTAATATGGAGACAGCTACCGCTGTATCAATTCATTAGCCTTTTGTTTCAGTCATGGCAATCCCTCACTAGCCTAGCCTATCCCTAAATATCCATGATCAATGTTGGGCCCAGTATAGTGATTGAGATTGCTGTCTGTAAAAGTAGCTATGTATTTCCTGCTAATCATGTGAATTTATTTTTCTATGTCTGTCCAACTCAGGAAACACCGGCCCAGTCACAAGCAGGTGACAAAAGAAATGTTCTCCGCAAAGGTCCCCTGATAGTGATGGTGCTGAAGACATCAGATGCATTTGAGTATGAGTCCTCAGAAGGGAAGAACAAAATGTTTCATGCTCTCGTGGTCACTGAGACAGGCTTTTTCCAAGTGAAAGTTTTAGACATCAATCTGAAAAATCAGTTTACAAATAATAAGGTCATTGCTATTTCTAATTACTTTGAATGTCTTGGAGTCCTGGAGATAAAGGAAGCATCATCTGTGTCTGAAGCTGTTACTCAAATGCTTCAGGTCCCAAGCAGAGTTATAAAACGAGCAAATGAAACACCAAAGATTGATGATATACGCAGGGGAGGATCAGGAACAAGCGTGTATGGGTTGTTCACATTAAAAAAGGTAATTTCTTATAATTGTCTTTTCCTTTTCTCCACTAACATCTGGAATTAAATTTCTTAACTTGTCAAACTCTGCCTATCTGATTGAATGTTAAAAATCAAGACACCATTCTTGACTACAGATAGCAGTAAAATCTTCCTACATATTATAAAATAGTAGCAGATAACATTCTATTGCCCAAGATTCCTCTAAGAAAATTCCTTGGAAAATCGTACCTAAGAAACATTCTTATTTCCCTAGTTATGATTTTCCATTTTCAGCCACAATAACAATTATACAGAACATAGATGAATACTTAGTTAAATAATCATGCTTCATTGAGTTTCACTGTAGTCATCTATGTAAATCTGCTTGCTTCCTTTTTTCCTTTTTGTTTCTTCTCTCCTTTCTTTTTACCTTCCTTCTTTCCTTCTTTCCTTCCTTCCTTCCTTCCTTTCTCTCTTCTTTCTTCCTTCAAGTGGATTGCCCTAACAAAAACTGAAGTCTAGTTGTCACATGTATTTGGAGTAATAATGGATTGGCTGTTATTCTCATGAATACAAAAACATTCAGTGGTATCAAAATGAAGGCCATTCAGTTAGTAGAGCTAACCACTTAATGTTGTCATTTATATCTAATTATTCATAAAGAGTTTATAGAGAAAGTGAGAATTATTGTATGGAATTATATTTGGAACACATAGTAATTTAAGAACATCACTTAAAAATATACAAGAGACATTAATATATCAATGCTGAATGCTGAGCATCTTACCAGCAATCTGTGAGTCTGAGGCAGGGTAACCATGCAGTCAAATCCAAGGTAAGCAATTTAGTGAGTTAGAAAGACCCATTCTCAAGATGAAAAATTTAATTAAGAGGTGGACATGTTTTTAGTGTCAAAGCCCTGTGTTCAATATGCAACACCATAAAAAAGCTCAAATTCAGTATATTATAATGATGCATTCAAAAGTATAAAAGTTAATTAACAACTATGAACTCAGCTAACATCTTATATGCTTGACTGCTTTAGAAGTCTATACACCTGCCTCCCGAATAAACCCTCAGTTTTGTGTGCATTACATTAGTCTACACTCTTTAAGAGATTAAGTTTATAAAGGCAGTGGTTAAATCCTTGAGGCACAATTTAAGTAGAACTCTACAGAGTATGACTAGAGAGACATAGGTTAGCTTGGATAAGATATTGGAAAAAAGTAAGTAAGGGAAAAATGTTAGTAAAAGAATTCTGAGCTATTAGATGACATTATTATATATATTCCTTGTAATCTATTAAATGAGTATGTAGTGGGAGCACATGTGCATTCACTTCTATGTAAACAAAATAGCCAAAGAAGACACCTAAGACATGATTCTTCTGATTCCCGGTGATATAAAAGGGAGTCAAAGCTGCACTTGAAGAGCAAACAGTAAAATACATACATAAATAAATAAATAAAAATGAAGAAAACATTGTTTTAGAATTGCTAGGCTGAAAATACCTAGAATGAGAAAAGTAAAATTTAGAACAGTAAAAGTAAAGTTATTTGGGAAAATTTAGCCAAAGCTATGTGTGTGTGTGTGTGTGTGTGTGTGTGTGCGTGTGCGTGTGCGCGTTCGCACGCACATGTGTGTATCTATATCTATATCTAATCTATATGCCTTCAATAGATTTCTTATATTTGGCATTAACTTTGTTATAAAAAGTTTTTCTCAAATATATGGCAACTACTCTGTTTATCAGAAACTGAATGTTAATTTTATTTATTTATTTGCAGAAAACAGTGAATAAGAAGAACACAATCTATGAGATAGAGGATAACACAGGACAGATCAGTGTGATAGGCAGTGGGAAGTGGCATGATTTAAAATGTGAGGAGGGAGATAAACTTCGACTTTACTGCTTTCAACTGAGGAGAATTGACAAGCAACCGAAGCTGGTGTGCGGCAATCACAGCTACATCAAGGTACTAGATAGAGAAAATTCAGTTCGCCAAAAAAAAGCAGCAGAACATTGTCTACAGAATAAAAATATGTTCAGGTTGAATTTGAGCCATTGAAGCTTATTCAGGAGCTATCTACACATCAACATGGAGATATATAGATTCAGGACAAAAAAAGTAATTTTGTGCTACAGATGCATATGTTCGTAGGGTTATAGATACCTGTTAAAGTTATACATTTGGATGGTATTATTGAAAAGAAATATGATAATAATAATAATGATATAATAGAAAACATTGAATATTCGCTCTGGGTTAGAATTTAAAAGAATGATCCTTATAATAATTATTTTTATTACATAGATACAGATACTGACACTCAAAAATTACAAGTAATATGGTCTAACTCACATATCCAATAAATAGTAGAGCTCAAGTCTAGCTAGGCTGTCTGCCATCAGAATGCAGATTCTTAGGCAAGGTGAATGAGACTATAAAACAGAGAAGATAGAATTATGAGACTAAATTTAGGAGTGGCTCAATATTGAGATACTATACATGAAAATTTAAAAAGAAGATAAAAGTAAAATGGAAAATATCATGATTGGCATTAAAAATAAGTTCAAAGAAAAGAGGGTCAACTTAGCTCGTGCTAAACACAAGGCATGAAGGACATTTCAGGTTCTTGGAATAATTGCATAGTGAATAATTGCACAGAAGTGAAATGTGCATTCTCAAGGAAAGACAAGATTGACTACACAATATCACGTTACTTGTTTCGTGAGCAAAGAAACCGTTTCCCACACATGGACTCATGAGGATATATAGGTTTCCTGACAAAAATAACCAAAAATACATTTAGGTTGCCTTTGCTTTTTGGTTTGTTCTCACCACACTTGGAGAACCCCTGCCCTTTTCAAATATGCACACCCAGACTACACATGAGAAAATATCTCTAAAGTCTCCAGATGATGGAGGAAAAATGACTCAAAATAAAAGAATCCAATACAGGAGATGAGTCCTGGCTAGGTGGACAGTATTTTAGAAGGAACACATGTGGCCAAGAAGAGAAACAGACAATAAGAGAAATATAAATACAGCGTTGTCTCTTTCGATTACCAAGCTCTCACTGTGTCTTTTTTATTTCTCCTTCAAGGTCATCAAAAGCACAAGAAGCAAGAAGAAACCAGTCAATGTTGACTTAAACCTGGAAGTTAAAGTAAATAACTGCCACTAATTAATTAAGTGCCTTTAACAGTAACATGATTAATTTTAAGAATTTGTTTTAAACCTTAGCTTTATAAGTGTTCGATAAAGAATTTTTTTTTCAAGTTTTGTTTTTTTCTGCAGTATATGCAGAATGTGCATGATAGGCAAATGCCCTCGTGCTGAAATCCATCCCCAGTCCCAAGACATTTTATAACTAACTTGTGGAAGTGTCTTTCCATTTTTTTTTTAAAAAGTTCTTGTTATTCTCTTTCTTTTGGCTAGAAATATTACATTTTGCATTATAATATCCATAATGTAAAAAAGATAAATTTTACTTTTTTAAAGTGTTTCAATTCTCTAAATCAGACAAACGTATAAATATCATATTTCTCCTTAGTGTAAGAAGTTGAAAAAGTAAATTACACCCAAATGTACAGTAGGTATTGTGAAATAAGAAGAAACTACTTAAAAAGAAAGACTACTAGACATGGGGGAAAGGAGAAAAGAAGGAAGGGAAAAGGAAAAATATATACTAATGATTTCCATTAGTTCATTGAAAGGAAAAATTTGTGTTTATAATGTTGATCAATTTGTCATGCCTATACCTGATATTATAGGCAAGTACTCTGAAGAAAACAATGCACAATGTACTAACCATTGTTACTCTCCTACTATCTAGTTTTGAAATGTTGTGTCATTGTTTTTATTGTTTTATCTCTTTAAAATACAAAAAAAAAAAAAAAAAAAGCATTTCCAACACAGTAAGCCACTTAAAATTTCTATTGACCTCACCAAATGTGAAACCACCTCCATAGTGTCTGCTACTGTTCTCAGATAACTGGTTTTAATGTTACCCTGCAGCAGATAATCAAAGACTCCACTGTTCCTGGAAAAACTGAAAAGAAAAAGTAAACACATTAGGAACACTAACTTTCATTTTAACCCACTCAACTGAAATTATGGTTAATTCAGTTAAAGAAAGATACTCAATAAAATATCTGAAATATTGAATAATAAAGTAATTCATTTCTCAAAAGTGCCAGATATATCTCTTTACCTCAGCACTGAGTTGCCTTATGGTGGTTGATTTGTGTACTGTAGGCGTGAGACTCTGCCCAATTTAAAATCCTCTCCTGAAATTCTGAAATAATGGAGTTCAACAAATGCAGTTGTTCCAAGCAAAGGTCTTTCATACCTCATTTCTACATCCATGAGTCACCTCACGGCCTCCTAGTACTCAAGATGAAGAACTTCTAGCCTGGACTTGTTCAGATCAGGAAAGTTCTTGAGGTGCATCCATTAGTTACCTAATTCACCCTTGCGCAGAATAGCACTGATGTGTTGGAAATTGCTTTGTGATTTGAGACTTCCAAAATGTTCCTGTTGGTTAGGATTAGAAGCAGCCAATATTATTGCCTAAATTTCTTTTCGATTTACTCTATTAGCTAAGTAATACCATGTCAAACCCTTTTTTCCCCAAGTCCCCTAGTTAAGGTGCTCTTTGAGCATAGACATTGGTACTAAGATGACGCTCACTACACTGTGACTGTGTACTGCCTTAAGTGTGCTTGTGCTTTATTGTTTTCTGTCTACGTAGAAGCAAAGCCTGAAGTATGAACCCGCTGAAGAAAATGGTTACCAATCAGGTCCCAAAGAAGTGATGGTGTTGCAAGTGACAGAACCATTTATCTATATGATAACAGAAAGTGAGCATAGGATGATTCACGCTACAGTGGCTACTGAAAACGCATTTTTCCGAGTGAAGGTTTTTGACATGAAACTTAAGGACAAGTTCATCCCCAAAAATATCATTGCCATATCCAATTATGTTGGTCGAAATGGTTTCCTGGAGATAAACAAATTCTCAAGTGTGTCTAATGTGAGTGCTAATCGAAAGATGAACATCATCCCTGCTCTGATTCAGCAAGCCAAAGCAACTCCTAAAATCAGCCAGCTTGGCTCACAAAGTGAAGGAAAATATGTGAATGGGATATTTCTGGTGTGTAAGGTAAGCCACAGCATTAATTTGTAAAATTTTCCTGAAATCCCAGATTTTAAAGTTGTAACCATAACTGCACTTTGGACAATCCACTCAACTCAGGAAATGCTTTCTTCTCAGGGACAGGTAAGTGGAGTCTCCTCATTTCAGACTGCACAATAGTTAGACTCTTAGCTTCCTCTTCTATAAGCATCAAAAAAATAAATTTAAGAATGAGATTTACCAAGAAACCATAATAGTTTGTCAACTATACTAATCAATTCATAATTACCTTGATAGAGCAGAGGGCATAGCCTCATCTGTCTTTGTGACAAGTGATCTGTGAGTGAGGCATTGCCTTCCAGTGCTGGGCTCTTGTTGGAACAGCCAGGAAAAGAAATCAAATTATTACTCTGTCCTAGGAAACAACTGCATCCAAAAGTAAGCCCAGATTCTGATCACTTGCACTCTAAGGTGGTCTCACTTCTTCCCATTCATTACTTTTCAACAAGAAATTGTTGAGCAACTGATTTCTGACCTAAGTAATAAGAGACATAGAAATTTAAGGCTGGCAAACCAGGCTTGGCAAATTTTCCACAGTGGGCATGCAGAGCCTTTTCTGTTAGCTTGTGACCCAAATTGCCTCAAGATCATGCCACCAGTCAAGCATTAGTTCCTGTGTTAGCACTTAGTGAAAAATAAGTGGGTTTTGGGATGCAGTTTTGGCAATCTCTAAACCAAAACTACTAAATAAATGTACTATATATCTCAATTTATATATATAAGGACTACAAATTGAAAAGAACTTTGGAGAACTCTAGGGCTTAAACTTTGTCTTTCCATATCCTGTAAATGGTGTGCTTAACTGTCTGTTCAAAGTACTATTTCATACACAATATATTGCCTTTGGGGTGGTTTCTTACTTTTACCTGTATTACTTTCTATATCTTCTATTTAAATGATTACATGTACATATTAAATTGATAAGTGAGATAAAAATCAAAATGGTAGGTGATACTGATTTAGTATTTTAACAGATTCAAGAAGAGTGACTAAATGAAAATTATAGAGGAAATAATTGAGATAACATAACTGTTTCATGAAAATTAGCAATAGTCTGAGTCCCTAGTGTGGTGAAAATGGTATTCCATCTTTCTTCTCATGGAGATATCAATCTATAAGCCTGTCTAACCAATCAGATTTCTTTCTTGAGTCCTAAAGAAATCTCAGATATGCTGATGTGGAAGCATTACAAATTATAAAGATAATTCCTCCAGAAAAGTTGAGAAGGTGATAAAGAGTTTAGGTAAGGAGAGGCTCAGGAAGGTTTCAAAATAAAGGATTTCTTTATTCATTTTGGTATTTCTAATCTTGAATGTGCATTTCTGTTTACCTTGTTGGAAATTAGCATTTCCACTAACAGTATATATCTCTCATAGAAGTGAAAATGTCTTATACATTTCTCAGTAGATATATGTTAATGTTCTTTTTCAGAAACAGGTGAGATCAGAATGTGTTTATTATGACATACAAGATAATACAGGAACAATGAAGGTAGTGATCTATGGACGCCTGACCCTTATTCCGTGTGAAGAAGGTGATAAACTTAATCTCACTTGCTTTCAAGTGGCCTCAACTATGGATGGCTGTGAGCTGAGATCTGTACTGCATAGCCACCTCAAGGTCAGCATTTTAGAGGAACAGAACTCTTCCAAGTGGAAACTCACATCTTTTATACTGTGCTTTAGAAAACTAGACTGCTGTCCTTACACACAGTTCAACGTGATGCAGCAAATTAATTTGCCTATTCTTCTATATAAACCAACTTCCTTTCCTACTTCTTTTTAAGAAGGGTATTTAAATCATAATGAACAAAACTTCAGACAGTCAAAGCTGTTTATCCTATTCTAAATATTAATCTGTCAAAGCAGAAAGATAACAATATGGATTTGCATTTAATTCAGAAATATTTATTGATATTGACTCTTTTTTTCCCAATTGACTAAAGATTTGAACACCATTGATCTGAAGGTCATCATCTATAAGTCAGGGAAAATATTTTCTGCTACAGATGTTCATCAATAGTGTTTATAATAAATCCAAATTAACAAGGATGCTCTAAACATATTAGAACACAAAGGAACCTGCCTTCAGAGAAATACTACAGGACAAAACCCAGAATATATGTCATACTAATATAAATGTTCATGTGGATTCACAGAATACTAAAAACAGCTAAAGCTGGAATGAAAATCAAACAGATCAAATGTCAATGGTAACCTATTCAGGAACACAAATGCACCTGCTTCCAGATTTCAACAGTTCTGGTTTTAACCCTAGTAAAATCTTTCAAATTTTCCCTCACAGCAGATATAGTGGGAAGTGCTTTTGTATGTTTCACCCACACTCCTGCCCAGTGGGAATGCTCCACCCAGCTTTTGCCATTTTGTCTACCCCAGTCCTTCTCTTCTTCTCTTCTCTCCTGCTCCTCCTCTTGTGCTCCTGCTGGATTAGCGTAATTAGCACATTTCATAGCCCCAAGCTAGGGCTAGGGTGTGACTGGAAGGACAAGTATTAATGAAAGAATACATAGGGAGAAAGGCAAGAAAAGAAATGTGGTATATGACTGTGTAAGGTAAATGTCAGCATTACTTCGTAAAATTTCTTCCACAATACCAGATTTTGACAGAAGAGAAAATGTGTGACCAGCTATAACTCAACTGACATATCTTTATCAATCTCTTTTTAAGGTCATCAAAAGCAGGAAAAACAAGACGAAGCCACTTAATTGTGATTCAAATATGGAAACTTTATTGGAGTGCTAAAAACCTGTATGCCACTGATAATGATGTTGATGAAGATAAGATCCATGTTTAGGAAGAAAATATAAAAGATCAAAGTTTTAGAAGAAAATACATATAAAAACCTGCTCTTAGCTGGTCATGATGCTGCATATCTAAAACCCCAGCATTTTGAGAAGCTGAACAGAAAGATCAAAATTTCAAGTCCAACAGAGCAATTTAAAGACTTAGCAAGATCCTATCTCAAAAAGAGAATTTGTAAGGGGTGAGTGCAAAGAGCCTGATTTCAATCCTGAGTACCAAATCCAAAAACAAATAAACAAAAAGTAAACACCAAACATATAATTAGAAACAAAAGAACATAATAAAACAAAAACCAAACAAAAAATAGCCATAAGAAATAGATACTTAGGGATGCTTTTTACCATATTCATTATGCACTTTTCTGTATTTTCTAAATTTTATATTTTGAATTTTGCTTTTATAGCTTAAAAATAATAAACCTCTATTTCTGAAGCTGTTTTTCTCCAGGAGTATCTGTATTCTGTATCTCTTTTGCTTTTCAGCAATTAACTTATGGCCTATAATATCAGGGTGGGGATCCAAGACAAAAACCAATATTTTAGTTTATACTTTGAGTGTGATCTATAGGTACTAGGCCTGGTAAGGCATAAATCACCTGTGTAGGGTTCAGAGTAACCACACTAAGAGCAAGTGGGGGCTGAAATCCAGTATGAGCTTCAAATGCCAAGACCTGTGCCCTGGGATCATTAATTAGGCCAGGACAAATTATCTTTTTCAGAATTTTTCTCCTACAGGGGATAGAATAATATGTACTTTATCTGAATAAATGAATGGCTTATGATGACTTCTGCAGGTGTACTAAGATTTTGAGAGAAATTCTGGCCCTGTCTGATGTCAAATTTCTGATTCTTTTTATTTACTAAAACACTTGTGGCTCCTTAATAGCTCTCTTTCCTCTATGACTAGATCTCACATTCCATACTGATGTAGGGGAATGAAACTCCCAACTGTTATAACGTGGGCCCCAGTATAAAGTCCAAGGAAACAAGAGTCCAAAACTTAAGTAGCAAAGGCTTTATTGAGCCAGTCCTGGTGGCACAGTCTCTCCTGGATCGACCCAAAGACTGCGTGCCCAAGACTTGGGAAAGGGGTTTTTAAAAGTAAGGGAAAGTGGGGGGAAACCTGCAAGGCCATTAAACCTGTTGACCTGCATCTGGAAACTGTATTGCTGTCCACTTAGCTCTGACAGTCTCGGGAGTTCCTGGTGTTGCTCAAATTACTCCCATCCTGCAGACTGACATTATCTCAGAGTGGCACGTCTGCAGCAATATTTGGAGAAGAAAGTGGAGAGTTAATTATCTCAGGACAGCTTGTCTTCGCTAGTGAGTGTGAAGGGGTCACGAGTTATGAGATGCTGGAACTTAAGTTTTACAAAGATCTGATATCTAATTCATTAGATACATACAGAACAAAAGGAAAGCACCGATCGGGGTTTGGGCCATGATATTACCCGGTAATTTCTCTTAAGCTAAGCAGTTCTTAAAATAGGGGCCGGCTCATTTTATGACAGATCATCACCGGGTCAGGGAGAGGTCACCAGCAACCCAAATTCTTTATGGCCCAGATAGGTGGGTTAGGGGAGGCAATAAGGCGCGCTACAGAACAGGAAAATGACGGGGTGTCTATCTTGTGGGAAAAGTAACTAAGGCTAGGCAAAAAGGTTAAATTCATACTCAAATCTCCCTGCATATAAACAAGTTACTTCAAACAATGTGTAAATTAGTGGGCCTTCTAGTCTTCTTTAGTTCTTTAGCGAAGAATAGAGGCGCCTAACCGTGATTAACAACCCTTGTTAGCTTGTTTTAGCACCACTCTTCTTGTTTGTAGAGGGCCGCTCTGGTTAACATCTCAATTAAGTGAAATTCTTGCAATTCTTTACAGGGAAGAGTATTGCTCAACATATCAATTGGGTCACTTAACATATCAGTTAGGGAAAAAAAAAACATTTAGCAAGCCACGGTACAGATTTACTATAATACACAAAATGATGAAGCTACTTTCTTAGAGTACAACACCAACATACTATGTCTGCTACGAGTTCGTGTTCTCTAAAACTGAAGAATGAATTTTAGAAACAACGGAGGTTATGAACAGAATATATTTATTGAGAGAAAGAAATCTGTCTGAGAGAGAAACAGAAAGGGTCCCAAGTGGGTTGCCATGGACACTGTCTTTTCTAGGGACTTTTATAGAGAAAAATCATGAGGGTAGATGGGTCAAAGGTGGGGAGAAATGGAAATTTGCAAGGTGGGCATAAGGCGGGTCAGAACTGTGGTCAACCTTTAAGATTGATTGCTCAGGTAAAATTGATTAAATTAAGAGCAGATGGGGGAGCAAGTCATGTAGTAAATGGGATTGCTTAACAACAGTGACTCTTCCTGTTGGGGGTGATAGATGCTGACTCCTGATTCCCTCAGGGTGATAGAAAACTCTTTGGACTACAGATCCTTAGGATGTGGTTGTATTTGCTTTGTCTTTTGTCTTGAAATTTGCCCCACAGCAGGAGGTGATTTTCTATTCCAAAGCTCGAAGGTATCTGAACTTTTGCTCTGCTCCTTTGAGGGCCCTGCCTTGTCTGAGTGCCTATAATATTTCTAACTAACTCAGCTGCCTGTAACAATATGTTTGGATCCATCAGAAATCTACCCTAGGCACATCCGCTTTAGTTCAAGACTGAAGTTCATTTTCAATAACAGAAGCGGGTATGTTGAATTAAAATTTACTGTTATATTTACTGATCACATCTTTGACATCTGGTGTTTTGCAGTTATTGATGTCACTCAGTCTTCACATTATTTTCAAAAGTTTGATAGCTGCTTTTTTCCCTCTTTTACTCTCTACTAGGGGTGGAAAAAGCAACACAAATGTAAAATCACTTTCATAATGATATGTATTTGGTAAACTAGTATTTGATTTAGAATATATGCTATTTCATTTTGAGGTAGATGTTTTAGAGGGCAGAGTATGAAGTTGAGTTCAAACGTTTGAGAAACAAAATAGAGGATTTTCAGCCCACTGCAGGGCCCAAGGGAGACTTTGTGGGAGAGGCCCCCTTGTTAAACACAGCAGCCACAACAGTAGACAGCGTTGAGCACAGCAGAGTCCAAGATCCCAAAATCACAAGAGCTTCTTGCATTTGTATAATTGTCATAGAGGTTGTTATCATATATTTACATTCTTACACAGTGCCATAACCAGTGCATGTGTGTTTACTGTCCTAAGTCATGGCTGCAAAAATTGCATGCTTCTATAGGCCTACACTAAACAAGAGGGGTCACATCCTCAGGTATCCTTAGATTAGATCCTTCTGAGCTGTGAAATAGTCTGAATGGTTACCCACAGAATTTCAGTGCTATAAAACACCAATGAAGCCAAGCATGCAAGGAACATCAATACATTGCCTCCTTTGAAATTTTGTGTCTTAAACTGGGTTATGGCCCAAAGGAACAGCACCTGTCCTCCAGTTCAGATAATCTATTCTTAGTTTCTTTCAAGCTGTTATGCCAGCTTTCAATAAAGTTTTTAGTTTCCTGGTAATCTCTTTGAACTTGCTTCATGTATTCTATGTTTTCTCTATTTTCTCCATCAAATAATCCCCCCCATTTTTTTTTGTTCTTTCATTCTACCATTTTATTTTCTTGGGAGGTGCTTAGCATTTGTTTAACTATTCTACTTATATCTTGATGTACTTGGTTAAATACTTCACTTTTGAACTTGTCTATGAGGTCCCTAAGATTATATCTATTGGTGCTGTGCCTGATATGGCATGTTTTCTACCCTCATTCTCCTTTGCACTTACCTTTCCTGGATCAGTGTTCTCAGGATAGGGGACCAAGGGCCCTTTTTTATTGCTTCCTCTTCTCATATTTTTGTTCCTTCCATACAGGCATATATATAGGAGGCCCAGTTTCTTTCTTTGTCAGTTTCAGTTTGTCTGAAGTGTGCTAACTAGGTGGTCCTGCCCCCTGCAGTGTACTAGGAGGTACAGACCCTACAGCCTATGCTGGGCCCACCCCTCGAGATCAACCTACTGAAGCCTTCACAGCATTAGATTGCACTGCCAGGTGCAGGATCTTGGTTTGGGCTAGCTTGTTGAGCCTCGGTGTATGGCATCACCCAGGTCAAGCACTCTCCACCAATTGAGAGGGGAATATGTGACTGAAGTCACTGCAGTGACCTGTTCCAGCCAGTCTGCCCAGTCTCAGAATGTCCTCTGTAGGAGCCTCTTTTAACTATGGGAGGGTTCCTGTCCCTCTCATGCACTGTAGGTCAATGCAGGTTCCTCTCACCCACTGCAGGTCAGTGTAAGGCTCCTCGCCAGTTCTGCTCCCAATTCAGTTCGCCAATTCCCATTCTCAGAGCGTTTGCGTCACCGGTGAGTTGCAACTAGCAGGCTATCCCAGCTGTGCCAATTCAGGTGTAGCAGCCACAGAATATTCAAGCTGTGAGTTTTTTGGATGTTCCAATCATAGCACGAAGATTGCATTTCCAATTGGTTTCTCTCAGCTTAGTTCGTTCCTGGGTTGGCAGGGTATATCTTGCTCTGCTTAGGACTTCCCACACTGCACCATTCCTGGAATTTAAGCTGGCTGTCTCAGAGAGCCACTGTAGCTGCTGTTATCTATCTACCATCTTTTCTTGGTTCTCCCTATTTCAGAGAAATTTTTAAAAACTAAGCCAAATAAGTGTTAAATACCACAATTCTGTATTCCAATTGAATATAGTCTGTGTTCACTCTGCAATAAAATGTACACAATGAAATTTTTTTTTTAAAATCTAGTTTGTTTGACAGTTGATTTTGTCATTCAAAATTTTTAAAAATGTTAACCCATAATCTTGTTTGGATAGTTGCTGTCAAGAAGTCTGCTGTAACTTTGAATTCACATGTATCCACATGAATTTTTTCAAATTTGGCTGTCTTCAAAATTTTTGCTTTGTTGATGGAATCATTTCAAACAAAAACGTCCTGCACAGTCATGAAAATGACCAACAGTTGGAACAAACAACTGACATAATGACAAAAAAATTTATCAGTTACTTATTGGACTGAGGATGAATATGCAGACTATATAAAGAAGTTAAAAAAAAATAGAGTCCCCAAAGTAAAAGACTTAATTTAAAAAGTACAACTGAAATCAATAGACATTTCTCAGAAGAATTTATCAATGCTCAGTAAATAAATTAAAAAATGTTCAACATCTCTGGTCACTAGACATGCAAATTAAAACATCATTAAGGTGCCATATTACTCTAGAAAGAATCAATATCGTTAAGAAATCAAATAATGAATACATAAATATATATATATATTTGTGTGTATGTATATATACAGAAAGAGAGAGACAAAGACAGAAACAGAGAGAGAGAGAAAGAGAGAGAGAAAATGCCACTGATCAGTCACCACTCCTCTGACTCCTTTGTTTAAAATGAGCATGTCTTTGTGAAGCATACTTTCCTTCTCATATTATCTCTTTCCATTGGCCCATGTACATATGGGATCACTCTCCTGCGGCATACATGCTCTCAAATATATTTCAGATATTGTATGTAGACCCTTCAAAATGGGCTTCCATTTGCTATATTACAGTCAATATAAATGCATTTATAGATGTTCCCTGCCCTTGATGACACAAGGATAAAAAATGGAATGAACTAATGCTGCCAGAATAGGTATTTTTTATTATTGAGAAGCCTAAAGAATCTATTGTCTTCCATATACCACAAGGAGAAAAAAATTCCCCTTTCTAGTTGTGAATTTCCTGAACTTTCTCCAGCATGGTGAAACCACAGCACTCAATGGCTGAAGCACTCAGGTATAGACTGAAAGACCATATGACAGAAATTGATCTTATTAAACAAATATGCAAGAAAGTAAAACATAAGGAGATTTTTTTAGCATGATGAGGTATTATTTTCTGTTATTTTCTTCAAAAATGTAATAGCTTGATGTTTTATGTTCTATTTTGAGTTATACTTTTATAAGGAGCTAAATATGATACAAAAATTTTATATAAATACAAATTTTCTCAGCAAAATACATTAAAAAGATTGTCTTTGTACTTCTCTGAGAATAAAATTTCTATTTTTATGAGTAAGTCAATTTCTAGATTCTTTATTCTGTTCCAATAATCTGAATCTCTATTTTTATATTCAACATTTGAGTGTCCAAATACAATGTTCAGAATCATATACAAAATGTAATAAATGATGTATTAATATTTCTAAACTTTATTGAATATATAAAATTGCATTTTATATTTCATAAGTATACCACTGATAAAATCACAATGTCAAATCTGATTATGGTTATGTTATGGTTATGATTACTTAGCAAAAGATATAGAAGAGCACTACAAAATTATTATAAAGCTTTAATGAAAGACTTCCAAAAACCTGGAGGGGAATATATGTAAATTTTTATTTGAAGAAAATAATATGAATAGACAATGCCTTTCACATTAATCTATAAAGGGTGTGCAGAGTCTTCAAATTATAATTATATCAAGTATTTGAATATCAGAATGCATGAGAAAATGAAGACTTAGCTATTTATCTGTAATTTTGCTTTTATCAAACAAATTTAAAAGTTTACTTTCTACTATGTGATGTCTGTTTACTTAAAAATGTTTTAAATACCCAAATAAAACATACCCCACATCTCTTTGGTTACGTTAGGACCTCAAGAGCAAACACAAAGTAGAGAAAGGTGTTACTCTATCTTAGATTAAAAACCTATTACTGGCAAGCATTTTACAACTAATACACTACTTTCTTGTGGAGTCTGGAAAATAGAAAAGAAAGGAACCATCAAAGAGTATGATAATTTCTATCTCTAAGTGGTTCCACAAGTTGGAACCACTACTACACTTCATTTTCCTGATTACTACATTTTAAATTAAGTGGAATGACTTATTTAAAGCCAGTAAAAGGCAATATTATTAGAAGGCCTGACTCAGTCTTCTCAGTCTATCTTTCTGTCTTCCACCAACTCACTTCTCGTTTTTCAGAATGTGAAATAATATTCTGAAGTCAAAACAAAACAGATGACTGACTCTTCTTCAAAAGCTATCAAGTCCCAAGAATCTAACCTTGTTACAACTTTGTATTAATTAAGTATTTTCTTTGCCAAACAATTGATCTTTCATCACCAAGACTATCTGTATGGCTTCCTACCTCACTCTATTTAGGTCTCTGCTCAATTGTCTCCTGTTATACTCAAACTTTGTTAACAGTGTGGACTGTAAATAAGCAAAGGGTTCCATTATTCCAGTACCATACAGGGTTAGCATTTTTCATAGCACATGTCTACTTGGCAATTTAGTATCTATGTTTTTGCTATTTCTTTAACCTTTCCTTTTTTAATATGTATTTGAATTACATACTAATTACATTCCACATGGGAAATCACCTGTCTCTGATAAAATAGAAGGGCTTTAATAATAAGAATTGTGTTTATCTCTTTCTAATATAGTACATGGCAAAAGTAGATATTCTATAAACCTTTAAGTAAATACTTGTTGAATTAACGATGTTGATTTGCTTTTCTAAACAATCAGCTCTGGGTGTTAGTGTTTACTAAATTCCATTGGTTCATTTAGTTTGCTTAATGAGGGCCAGTTTCTTGAGCATCCATAAATCAAATGTTCTCATTTTATGTTCTTAAAAGCAACTGTCTCAGTCAGAAACAGCATAGACAAAAATTCGAACAAAGCACTTCAGTCAAATCAATACCACACTTGCAGACTAATTTTTAGAAAAATTAAGGTTTAGACAACTTTTAAAATTCAGAATGTGCATGAACCTGTTATTCCAGCACTTGGAAGGCTGAGGCAGAAGGATCCTGTGAGATCAAAGTCCTACAAAGTGCATTCAAGGCTAGCCTGCACTAAATAAGTAGACTTTATATCAAAAAAAATTTTTTTGAAAGACTGATAGTGAATCATCAACACAAATGAAGGTAGACATGGTCACATTTTACAACAAAATGAAAGCTGAACTACATGTTGTTAGTGGGTTATGCAGTAACAACATTGTCTTTCAAAACACAAAACATTGGCCAACAGCTGTGTTTTACATGATCCTACATATGTCAGGCATATATGATATCATAATTTACAAAAATAAAAAACAAGAGCAAAATACAGAAAGATTTCTTAGAGAATTAGGACTGGAATTGATAAAAACATTGATTGAAACAGAGAAAAATCTGTATCTGGTCAAAAAATTCTGCAGAAGTTTCTAGAACAGAGGAGTGAAACATGTAAGAACCTTCTGAACAAAAAAATGTTGATATTAGGGCCTGGGATTTAGCTCAGTGGCATGAGAGCCTGCCTTGCATGTGCAAGGTAACAAGTTTGATCCCTGGTACCAAAACCAAACCAAAACAAAACAAATGTTGATATTTATTATAAACATAATACACATTTAAAATGTAACATTTTATTTTATCAATATTTTATTTTCTGCTTAAGTACGCATTATATAATACAACAAGAACTCCCGAAAAAAAAACAATAGAACTCCATAGATATCAAATGTGTCCTACAAAGGGCACAGGAGAGAAAATTACATTTGCTGTGACTCTAAGTGGTCTCTGTGTGGAATATGTTGTTTTCATGTGTAAAGATGGCTGCACCCAAATGAAATAAGAATTATTTTTTGTAGTGTTATCTGCATAAACAATGTAGATCATATAGAAATATATTATGCTATTTTTTACATTTTGTAAACAATTGATGTAAAAAATCCGATGCCTGTTATACTCAATGCATTTTAAAAATTAACATTTTATTTTTGTTGATATTTTATTTTCCCATTAATTTCATATTATATAATATAATAAAACTCAAGAAATTAAAATAAATAATTTATTATTAAAACATATAAAGTATAAACTATTGGTATTATATACCCATCTTATTTTCCTTTTTTAGGAAATTGAACCAGAAGACCCCTAGGATTAAAGCAGTAAAGAAAAGTTATTAGCCTCCCATAATTGGCTAGGAAAAAAGAGTAAATTAGAATCATTTGCTTCATGGACTCTAAACCTTGTTATACACCTATAATTCCTGATTGTATTTCCTTTTTGACAACTCATGACCCTGATATTTCAAAAATCCAAGGATTATTTGAATGGGGATGAGTCTTTTCCCTTGAACCAAACATTCTCAGGTCCTTAATCTAAAACTTAAAAGAAAATAAAATTCAAGTATCACTGCTCTGTCTCATTTTTTCTCAATGTGCCAATGTGAAAAATCATGCACAACTAATAGAAAATATAAATTCCAGTTTTTCCATTTGTCCAGTAAATCTGAATAAATTATAGATTTCACTCATTCGACAAACCTCAAAACAAAATGTTTATGATGACTTCACTATTGTATTTGCAAGAGTAAGAAATCCATCTTTGCTTCTAGAGTGCATAATATAAAGGAAAATGTTACAATTAAAAAGTCGACTCTTGAAATAAATGGAATTGTGAATATGTTAAGGATCCTCAGTAAATGATTCCTGGGGAATTATCTATCAGATGAAATCAGCAAATAGATAGTATAAATAGTGGCTATAAATATAAAAAGAAATACATGTTATGATGGAATGAATTTGTCCTCTCCAAAGCTAATATTAGACTTTAATCTATAAAGCAGTGGTGCAGGGAAGAAGGGCCTAATGGGACATATTGAGATTGTGAGGCCTCTACCCTCCACCGAACCAGTGACACTATTAAAAGGGAAGTTGGGAGTGCATTTTCTCCTTTTTTCACTCTCCCATGTGAGGATGGAGGAAGAAAATCCCATGAAATGTCAGTCAACATCTCACTCGCAGGCTTACCACCTTACTAGTTTTAATAAATACATTTCTGTTCCTTATAAATTCCATAGTTTCTGATATTCTGCTTCAGTAGCACAATGCAGACTAAGAGAGTGGGAAAGTGTGCCTTGTTTATAATAGTGAGGGTCAGCTAAGTATGGCTGGAATGAACCAGGAACTTCTTTTACTCAAGTATCATGTTATGCAAAAATGATGAATGATGTATCTTTCTCCTTTTTTTCAGTGTCCAAGTGTACACAGGCACCCTTCCCTACAACCCAATACTACCTGTACACAAGTTTCCCCTGAGTAAATCATTGACTGTTTACCAAGCTGGAGCAGTCTGCCTCTTGCCTTGATCTGAACTTTCTGTGTGATGAGACAGATCACTAACTGTTTAGTCATGCCTTAAAAGTCAGGAATAATGTTTGTTTGCAGATATTCCATTACTTCATCTGCCAAAACCTGCAAAAATCCATTTGTTTTTAATTGTTCATGGGGAAAAATAACATATGTTGTATGATGGAATTCTAACTAAAGGCATAAAACTTTAATGTACTACAGTTGTTCCTTAATCATATAAAATGATTAAGGGTAATGAAAATATCTGCAATCATGATCATTCCTGCCATACATTCTTTATTTTCTCACTCCCATTTGGAACACGCTGACCTCCTTTTGACTACCCTAATATCTCTCTCTCTCTCTCTCTCTCTCTCTCTCTCTCTCTCTCTCTCTGTCTCTCTCTCTCTGTCTCTTTCTGTCTCTGTCTCTCTCTGTCTCTCACTTTAAGACCTGCTCAACATATCCACAGAAACTGCATCTTAAATATAGTCTCCTTCACAAAACAAAATAAAACACCTAGAGGTGTTTGAGATCATCACTACAGATTTTTCTTTGATATAATTATGGAGGATTTAAAATCCAGAATTCAACCTTCACTTGTATCAGACTATCTTGGACTAAGATAGTCATCATTCTTCTTCCAGGTAGATGGCCTCAGTTCATTTGTCTGCACTCCATGTTCCTGGGGACCCTGCTACCAGGCCTGGGATCATACTGCTTTCAGATCACCTGATGAGCTACCACACAACCACCCACAAGTTTGTTCTGTTTGTTAGCATATGAGAGTTACCCTGATCCAGAAAGCATTTACCATCCACAGAAAAAGAAAACAAAAAACCTGTAGAACACCAGTTACATGTGGTCAAAACTATCACCAGAAATTTAGTAATCTTCCAATTTTTTTTCAAAGCTATCGTGTTATTTTGTATTTCTCTATAAGCAAAACAAGAGACTGAGTAATTGTGAACTTAATCCTTGTAATATTTCAGTCGAGTAGTAGTGAAGAGGATAGCTAGGGCCACAGTTGCTTTGATTTTGTTGGTAGAACTACATGCTTGGAATGACATTATGTTCCGGCAATCCCCATGAAGGTGCAGTATTATGAGCAGCAGGAGTGCATGAGTCACCTAGTAGTTAACAAATAGCAATTTCCTAGCAAACCCTCCCCCATCCAGGAAATACATTCTGGGAGTGTTAGGAATGGAAATCCTCCTGCCACTGATACTCTGTGAGCAAGTGGAAGAAGAAGCTGGAAGTAGATGATTTGTAAGTACCTCCTCATTTAGCACTGAATATTCACGGTCTCAAGTTTTATATAGTTTCCTAAGAACCGGTGAGCAGGGCTGTTGGATGTGAAAATGTTTTCATTTGCTGAGATTCTGGTGAAAAAAAAAAATTAAATATAGCAGTCGTAACTTGTCATGATCACTGAGAAGTTACAGGAAGGAAACTGCAGCTTCTCTGGTAGAGGAAACCGAAAGTAAGAGCAAGCACGGGAGGAGCCTCACACTCTGTCCCTGGGCTTCTGCAGCAGAACCAACAGCACTCCTGAAATTATTGTATGACTCTGACCGCTATCATTTTAATTTGTTAAAATCAGAAATGCTTTGCTGGCTTAACATTTCAGAAGATTACAACATCTTGCTGCACAGTTTCCCAGACTTCTACTGATTTACCTTCCTCCACAAGCATAACAACCACTGCTTCCTGCATTGCTAAAATCTCAAGATCTGGATTCCTGTTGAAGAGATTTCCAAGAAGTAAGTCCTCTTGGTAGTTTTCTGTTTGTTTGTTTAATATTTCTCCTAGAAATTCACAAAATAACCAAAGTAAATCAGTGTTGTTCTTTCTGGAGTGCAGTTGACCGTAGTAGATTTAGTGCTAAGTGCATTTAGATCTGCTGTAATGACTGGATTCTGACCTTTTGTCTAGGGAAATAATAGATATGTTTATTCTTACAAACTGAGTCCTGAGAAACATATTTTGATGATTGCAGATTATGAAATAAATTAGCTGAAAAAGAATTTCATGTGTAATTGAATATAAAGTTAGACTGCAAATGTTGATGCCATAATTTTACAATATAATAAATCCTGTTAAGTTTATTTTTTATGACTCACATTTTCTAAATCTTTATAGTGGTTTTTAATCTTGTTCATTTAGCAATTGACAAATATACTAAAGTTGATATTTAGAAGAGATCTTTGATTTCTTGGCTATAGAATTCATGGAAATTATAATATAGTAATCTTATAAGAAATATAGCAATATGATAGTGGCAGGGAAAACAGTATGAAATGACATCAGGTAAAAAGCACATGTGCACAAAATCTTTCCCATATACTATATTTGTATTTTGGAGAACAGAAACCAGTGGACTGTTTCTGTTTGCACTGGGTAGAATAATTGTGATACACTACTGCTCTAGTAGTGTGAACTATTTGAGAGCCCCAGCTATTCAAAAAGTTGCTGTCTCAATATTTTTTAAGTACATCTCACTTTTTATCAGCCCCTACATCAAGTAATGCAGGCAATACTTTAGTCTCCTGGGAATAGGTTATGTAATTCTTAAAGGTGATTAATTTTTGCCCCTGAGGGAGCAAGAAGTAGCTGAGAAGTAAGGAGATCAGTTAGGAACATTTCTATTACCTACTTGAAAATTTTAAAAGACCTTCTCTAGAGCCTGTTGCAGTGTTTCACATGTAATTGAATAGAAAGTTAGATTGTGAATGTTGATTTCTTAATTTTAAAATATGATAAATCCTGTTAAGTGATTTTTACCTTGTTCAATTAGCAATTGACAAAGTTACTGCAATATCTACTGTAAAATGGAGGATTTTTTCTTGTACTTCTTTCCAGTCTCTTGTACTTTTTTCCAATTGATTTTCAATTGACTTAATTTTGGCCTGCAGGATTCTCAGCTTATTATTCTTTTGTTCAGTGTTACTTCCAATCAGTATTTTTGTGGGTATTGGTAGGATTTTCGGCATGATTAGAGAGACTATAAAGTAAAATGACTTTTATTTAAGGACACGGAACCTCCACAACCTCTGGGGCCTGGCTTTCTCTGTGGGATGCGTGGAGTGGTGGGCATACATATAGCTTTGGTCCGGGGTGGTACGTAAATGTGGCATCGCTGATGCACGAGTAGCTGATTGGAACTCTTTTTGTGCCACAGGTAAGTTGCCTAGGGGCAGGGAAAATGACCTCAAGGTAAACATCCCTTGGTCCCGCCTTCCTTTGCTGTAATGTCCTACCTAGGGCAAAACTTTCAGGTATGTTTTCCTTTCGCAACTACCAAAGCCTTTAGTATCAGATAATAGATTTCTATGGGGTTTTTTTTGGTTGTTGTTTAAATAAATTTTTACCTAGATCTAAAGTTTTGTTCTGGAATTATTTTTCGTACATGACATGTTAAGAGCAACTCTTTTACACATGTAGCATAGATATAATTAGAAATTTGGAGTCTGAATATTGCAGAAGCCTACTTAATGAATATGTTCTAAGTACTGTGCTACTAGAAATTCCACTGGCATCTGCATCAAAATCAATAATGTTTCAACAACAAAATTTTAGAAGTTCTCACTGAAACAAAATGAACAAAGCTTATACATAGCCTTCCCTCATCTCACATCTGCTTATATTTAACAAATACATTGTTTTGACACAATCACCACTCAAGAATTTAGATTTTTAAAATATTTTGGCTTTGCAATAAACACAGCGTTTTTGGAGCAGTTGTATATCAAAATTATTTCACCCAGTTGCAATCTGTTTTGCTGTTGAGAGTGAGTTTCCAATATTATTCTTGAATCTCTGTAAGTGGTCTGCTTTTTCTTTATGGAGACTTATATAGTATGTGTTTTGCACTTAATTCTCTTCCATTTTACTTTCTACAATGTGTCTTTGTACGAATTGACCCTCATTAGACAGGGCTTTTCAATCTAATGGTTTCCTTGCTCCCTTAAGAAGGAAGTGATTAACAACTTCAGGAATTTGAACATTTGAATTATACAAAAGATACACAAACATATGTCTCCTTAACCAAAAGGATTTATAAATTTATCAAAAAATTGGAATCCTTACCATGTGCAGAGTGTCATGAAGAAAATGTACTAGTGCTAAAGAGGTTGAGAGGCACAACTGTAAGTCTATTTTATGATTCTGAAAGTTTCCAGAAGATAAAACCAGAGTTAAATCTTAATGGTTGAATAAGAGCAATACGAGCAATTGGAATATTCCAATACGAGTATTGGAATATTTTTCCAGGAAAAGCAAAGGGAACTATCAATGACATAAAATATGACAAAGAAAGGTGTATTGTTTACTTCTAAAGAATATGATGTAAGGATTAGAAAAAACTTAGATCTAATTGTAGTCCTCTGCTTGCTGGCTGCTGCCATCACAAGGCTTGCTTCCTGAGGGGAGCAGGGAGGGCAGAGAGACATAGCCAGATAAGCCCCATGCACCTGCATGCCAACACTGGAGATGCTTGCTTCCTTTGGGCATCCAGTACCCATCAGAAGAATCTGAAAATCACACTCTCGTGTGCCTGCTGCCATTGGGTAAGTCCCAGTGTATATATATGCAGGCTGAGAGAAGAAGCAGTCCCCACCACAACTCACCCCAGACCACTGGGAGAGCCACAGTGTAGCTGCGTATGTCTGGAGAAGTCTTCCCCATGCCCAGCTACCTCACTGGAAACCTGGGGTGAGAAAAACCCAGTTTCCTGGCCCATTCCCCTACACCATTGAAGAACAGCAAACATGGGTGGTGCCTGGGACTCCACAACTGGCATGTTGAGAGGAACCCATGATAATGTCAAGAAAAGGAGCAAAAAGCAAACTCACACCTCCAGCTCGCACAGAACAAGTCTGAGAGATACAGTCATGGAAGAAAACAGAAGTCATACATGTAAAATCTGAGAGGATAGCAACTAAAGTAAAGAGACAACTTCATGAGATTATAAAAGTAATCAGATCAGAAATAAATTCTCAGTAAAAGAAGATATCATGCTGGGGATTTAGCTCAGCAGTGTAAGTGGCTGCCTTGCAAGTGTGCAGTCATGAGTTCAATCCCCGGTACAAAAACAAACAAACAAAAAAAAAGATACCACAAACATAATGAAAGAATTGCTGAGCACATCTAAAGAAGACATGGGTAAAAAAGAGAAGCATATGAAAATGATGGGAACCTTGAATGAGCAATATAAGAAGCATTTACTGTGCATGAAGCAGATTCAAAGAGATATCTAGGAAATTAAAAGTCAATTGAAAGCTGGCCAAAGGGCTTGAAAGAGGCGGAAGATAGACTTTCAAACCTTAAAGACAAGATTGCGGCTAATGATCATGAAAGGAAAGATCTCTTAATAAAAATAATAACAAGGAACCAGGAAATAACAATTCAACAGCTGCAAAGTAATGCAAAGAAAAATAATTTAAGAGTGATAAGAAAAAACAGCATTCAAACACAAATGAAATAAAAAACTAATTTACAGAAGTAATAGCAGAAAACTTCCCACATATGGGGAAAGGATCTGGCATGCAGAAAAGTGAGGTATATAGAACTCCAGTTAGCCATAATGAAAGTAAATCTACATCCAGACATATAATAAACATTTCAGAAATTCAATACAAGAACAAAATATTAAAAGCTGTTAAAGAAAAAAAACACACCACCTCTAAAGCAAAACCAATCAGAATCACAGCAGACTTGGCAACAAAAACCATTAAGTCAAGAACTGGAGTGAAATAGTTCAAATCCTGAAAGAAAACTACTTTCAACTCAGATGGATATACCCTACAAACCTATCTTTTGAAATTGATGGAAAAATAACATGCTTCCATTATAAAGAACAACTGAAGGAATCCATGCCCACCAAACCAACCTTACAGAGAGTGCTGAAGGAAATCCTAGAGAGAGATAAAGATAGCCACAGTTCTGGAACAGCAGCAGAGGAAGATGGTCAGACAGGACCTCAACTCACCAATAAAGAGAAACACAGGGAGAGTGGGTCAAGAAATAAGATACATCAATGTATTGTATAAAAGAAACACATTTAACTTGAATGGAAATTTATGGACTGAGCATCAAAGGAGAGAAAACAATGGTTACACATGACAGGAGATCAGAAAAAATCAAAGATAAATTGCCTTTCAGCTGCAGAAAATAAGACAGATACATTGGAAAGCTATCCAGATATAAAGTAGGACAATCTTGAGTCTCCTGTAGGTAAATGGACGCAACTGGAGATCCTGTTCAGGTGCAAAACAATTTGAACTTATGCAGGTGAACACTGAGTTATCTCCCTAGAATAAAACTGAAGAAATAAGTGGGATTTAAATAGCACAATAGATATTAGGAAAGAGATGGGGGAGAAAAGGCCTAGAAGGGGAAGGTGTTAACCACTGTTAGTTTTTTACGGTCTCATTTTGAACTTTTGTATAATTTTCATAATTTTGTAAGGTTTGGTTTTCTGTCTTGTATTGTTGGAATTTACTGTAACTTATTGTATGAACAGCTATCTTCAAAACAATGGAATGTAATGTGATAACCATTGTTTGTTTCCTACTATCTTGTTTTGAACGCCTATAATGCTTTCATTCTCTTATTTTGACTGATTTTAGTCTGTTTTGTATTGTTTGATTTTATTATGAGTGAAGGTATGGACATCTACCTTGAAGAACACAAGAGACATTATGGTAGACAATATTGACTTCCTATTGGCTTGTTTTGCAGTCCTATAATGACTTTATTCTTTCATATTGAATGGTTTTATTCTATTTTGTTTTGCTAAATTTTATTGTGTGTGAAGTTATGCACATCTGTTTCAAAGAAAACAAGAGACATTATGTTTCCTGTTCTTATACTGAAATAATGTAATGCTTTCAATTTTTGTTTTCATTGGTTTTGTTCTGTTTTTTTTTTTGTTGTTGTTGTTGTTGCTGTTTGATTTTATTGTGTGGTATAAACAGCTATTTTGAAAAAAACGAGAGACATTACAGTAGCCATTGTTGATTTTCTTTTGTCTTGTTTTGAGGTCCTGTGTTTCTTTCATTGTTCTTTTCTGGTTTGCTTTGTTCTCTTTTGTTGTGTTTTACTCTCTTGAAAATAAAATTAATTTTTTATAAATTTAGGAAATAAAAAGATGAAGTAAGCTGACTTGTTTAAGACATTTTAAAGAGAAACCAGAATTATTTTGTTATTTTTGTTTTTATAAGAAATGAGAGACTTGTTGAACAATTTCAGCAAGATTTTACCATGACATACAGACAGAAAATTGACTCTATTTAAAAATCAATTAAGGGAAAACCAAGCAATAAAGTAACTTGAACCAAGAAATACTTTGATCCTGGGCTGGAACACATGTGCACATCAAACTTGTGATGGTGATAGAGGTACTGAGGACATAATCCAGTATCACAGGAGACACAATACTAGTGAAAGTTAATTAATAGAGGGTCAAATGGACAGGATGCAAATACTCAAGAGCATATAGACACACAGGAAGGAGAGGCTCCAGCCAATGTTAGAGGAAATGAAGCCAGGAACCTGGACACTGCATAGCCTGTACTCTAAGCACTGTAAGAGCGGCCTATCTCCAGATTTCCTTCTCTTGCATAAACCAATGACACAATCCATCATTAATAAGGAGCAACTTCTTAAGAGTGTGTAACAGGGCACTTCTGCGTCCATTTTCCATAGAGAAACATCCGGTCATTATGTCCTTCTTTGTTGCACACACACACATGTGATGCAGACAACAGTCTGACATGAATCAGGCACACAGACATGTCTCATTTTTGAAATTGCCCATGTGCATGTATAATGAAACACTGATGCCAGTTTTGTTTTGTAGGTTCACCTGTCATTTGCAAGATGAAAAGTACGTTAAAAGAAATTGTTCTTCTTCAAGGCTTACATCCTATCAGTGACTATCATTTTCGAATGATAAAGTCCTTACTGGCCAGTGAGTTAAAACTGACAGGAAGCCAGTATGAAGAATATGACAAAATTAAAGTTGCTGACATGATGGCAGAAAAGTTTCCAAGCGATGCAGGACTTGGAAAACTGATTTCATTCTTCAGTAAGATACCAGAGCTAGAAAACACTGCTAAACTTCTCAAAAAAGAGAAGGCAAAAGGTAATGTGGTGCACCCTCTGACACACTGTCCAGAGCCCCAGGTTGCTCATGATCAACACTTCCCCACTCTGTTCCTCAGTATCAATACCAATGGTGTTGGCTCAGTTACCAAGAAGTTCAAACTATGGAGAACGCCTCTCCTAAATGTTACAATATATTTGAGAAGAAATTTTTATGGAGGCCACAAAGGAGATAAAAACAAACAGAATGAATTCTCAAGAATTCTAATGCTTCTGATGCACTGGAAAAATTGGAAAATAACAAAATAAAATTTGGGAAAATTATGTGCTTTACACATAGAGACCAATTAATATTCTTCTTTTCCTCAGATATGTATTCCATCATTTATATGTTCTCTGACAGTGGATATGAGATAGTATTTAACATAAGCTTGTGTCTCAGAGATGTCAGTAGTGTCCCTCTTATAAAACCTCTGGGTTTAAAAATATGTTAGATGTCTAATTCCAGTATCTTTACTTTGTCACAGTACAAATGGAAACAAAATTTTTTCTTTGTTTTCTTAATTTGGGTAAGGTCTCCTATAGAATGTGACCTATTCTTAGCATGATGAATACTGTTGATTCTTAAAAAAGGTCTTGAGGTACATGAAATCTACAGGGTGGGAAGGCTGTTCAAATTGCACCTGGGAAAATGAAGAAAGCACTGAGCCTGTGCTTGTACCATAGTTGCCACCACTGTCTGAATCATGATCAGCCCATGAAGTTGAAGTAGAGGAAATTACTTAGACATGGAAGCAGAAACAGAGGAAATAGTACAGACACTACTATGGCCCTCCCTTTAGTTTATTGTATTTACTTTTATAGTATTAGATAAAAAGAAAAAAAATGTACAAGAAAAAACTACAAAGAAAAGAAGCAAGCAGGATACATTCGGTACTGATCAACGTACACTCACCCCAGATGAAGATTACAAAAAAGAATCAGTTTTGGATGTGCCTTTGTCAAAGGTAGGCTGCCTAAGCTCCCATCGTCAAAGCTGCTTCTGTGACTTTCTCACATCTTGCCTTTGGACGTACTTAGTTATGTATTTAGTGAAAATGAGATTCAGAGTAATAAAATCTTTAATTGTTTGCTCATTTTGTTTCAGGACCACAGTGCTGGTTAACTTGTATAGTATAATTCCTCTGATGGAAATATGAAGCCATGATGCCTTGTTTAGTTACATAGTGATACAGCATTCAGTTTAGAGAATGATGCATCAAAGCCTATACAAAGAGACTAAATCCAGACTTGAATCTATGCACAAGTCTCCGCTTTTAAATCACCAAAGAGGGATAAAAGTGTTACATGTATAAAATATTTTTACTCTGTATCAATCAATATGTACTCACTGGGGGACTTCTCACCATGTCTTCAAAGATCGATTGTAAATTCTCAGTGATTCCTAGGATGTAAGTTTAATATAATTAGAATACAGTAATAAATGTTGATTTTCTTGGTATCAAAGATTTATCTAGCAGTAAAAAGCCTTATGTGGTATGATTACAACTCAGCAGTAGAGTCTGTGCTTTACAAGCATGAAGTGCTTTGGGATTTAATCCTCATTAATGAAAAGGAATAATTACTAGGTGCTGGCTCTGTTGGCCAGTGAAAAAATATATCCCTGGGTGCTTAATATAAATCAGGCTTTTGACTTAGGCCCTAGCACCAAAAAGTAATAAAATAAAAATATAATAAAATATCAAGAGAAAAAAGAAATAATTCCTCCTTAAAAAGAAAACCATGTGAGACTACAGGTCACCTCTCCTAAGAAGACAAAGGTAGAAAAGAGAATTCATATCTGTGTCTAGCAACTCTTATCCAAATCTACTTGTTGTTATGTCCTCTTTGTTCTCCTGTGATGTGGCTGCTATGGATGCCGGTAAACTGGGAAGATGAAGGATACATCTAGAATGAATGAGCAAGAGATTGATTGCTCAACACCGCAGAAGAAAAAAAAGGTCAGAGTCGAAGTTAAATCACTTCTCTTGAATGTAGTTTGTAACTCAAAGAGCAAACATTGCTTTGGTTTGACTCAGGCTACATCCTCACCACCATATTTCCTCCAGCAAAGGCCCTCAAAGGTTGAAGACACTGAGTATCGTTTTATCTTTTTGGATCTTGATGAATAGCTATCAAGAACCAGTTTTCTTAATGGTAAATGTTTACTTAGTAAGTTCATAATGACTACTGGCTTTCTGTGGGATTTGCTTACTTTATAACCTGAAAGGATTAGTTCGCTTTAGACTCTGTGTTTGATTGACCTTCTTAAATAAGTGTGCAACACACATAGAACCCAGATTCTTCCCATCTGAAACCAATGATATGCAATGTGAGATTTTAACATATGGTCAATTGATTTGGGGAATTCCAGATGGTTTGGCAGGAGGATAGCAGGGAAAGGTATATGCTTATATCCCAGTATTCTAGAAAACAATCATAAAGATTCTGTGTGAAAAGAAAGAAAAAATTTTCTTCATGTGATTTTTCCGTGCATGAAATCATTATCCAGTGTTAAGGGAAAAAATATGTTTTTGTTCAGAAACAGGAAAATTCAACCAAGGAAAAGGATAAATTGGGAAGAAACACAGTGGATCTGAAAATTGGTGTGTTTCCAGAAACTTCTACTATCGACACAGGTCTGCAGAGACCTCACATTTCTCCACTCAGCTCTTCCATCAGCACCTCAGCCAAGGTATTAGCTTCCTCCTCAGTTTCTCTTTTCTTACTTAACATAATAACAGTGATCATCGAAAACTTCAAAGAGCTGCTCATCTACACCAAATTTTAAAATTTTATTTATTTTATTTAACATTCATTGGATATCTACATTAAGCCTCTGATAGATTTATTGTAATACTTCTGATGTCAAGAAAGTTATTGCCTTGTATTGATTAGAACAAGAGGACAAAAGTGATTGGATGAGTACAAATGAGAATAGATCTGCTCATTTCAACACATTCCAATATTTTTCTCATCCGTTTTCTTTGCTCACTCACCATATTGCAGGTTCCTTTTCCACATTCCCTGCTGTTTCCAGTCAGATGTGGTGACATGTACCCTTGTGTTGTGAATCATTTCTTGGGGTTCACTCCTCATGTGTATACCTTCACCATCAGGCACAAATGTGAATCTCTTCCTGCTGCACTGTTCATTATACCTCTTGCCAAAACGCACTACACATACTCATTGCTTGCTCATGGACCCCTTCATGGTTGCTTTTAACCCTTTGTCAGCTGTAGTACATGAATTTGTGTTTCCTCTGGACTAGACAGTGGGCTCAAATACGGGTACAATATAAAGCAAACAGAAAGAAGAGAAAGGGAATGCACAGGATAGGTTCAAGTTCACTCTGCCATTTCTGTCTAGACATGACTCATCTAAAATTTGCACTGAAAAATAAGAGCCTGATTTCTGATATTAATAGACAACTCGAAGAATAGGAAAAAAATTCATGTCAATATTCTCATATGCAGTGTTTCTTCGAAGCCTAAAGCCTCCGTGTAACTCAAAGGACACTTTTAATCATCAATCATTCACTCAACAATGGAAGACAGAATTTCTGCATACAAGTTTTCACAACTTATATTTTTTGTTTTTCACAAGAGATCCAATAACCCATAACTCCTTGTGAAACCTTTATGCAAAAGAGGTAGCAAACTATTTCTGCTCACTTCTTGTCTGGAGTGGCCAAGGATCCAGGAAACATTGAAACCTCAGGCCCACGTTCTCTCTGTTACTACAATGGCATATGGATATCCAAGGGCAACTGTATATTTTGTTTGTATACATGCTTGAAAGTGGCACTTCCTAAACTCCTAGATGCTCAAATATATATGATGATATCTTGTCTGATAAATAAAAATCATTCTGCTCTTCTCAAATATACTAGATCATAGTATCCAAGGATGGCTGGCTCATCTTTCTTGGTCTCTCACCTTTGACCACCCCATTTCTCATTTGAAATTCTGCCTCTTCTATAAGAGTCCTACAAAAGCAGTGTCCCTTATCAACCTATGTCCCATAGACTGGGTGAGGAAGAAAGCCTTACAGTATATATTGTGAGATTTCCCAACTATTTGCTCTGGCCTATTCATTCTTTTCATTTCTAGAGTCTAACCAAAACTCAGGCCATTGTTATGTTTGGTTTATATTTTATATTTCCTGTGAAGTAGAAAACATAATACAGCCATGATTCATGAAAAAGCTGAGGAAATCAATGAATTCACTTTAGAGGAAACGAATAACACAATCAATTGCCATTTTAAAATATCATCCAGTCAAATAGTATAAAGTAGTTTAAGCATCAGATCCTACTAGTGAAAATAAACTATTCGAGTTGATTGATTTTGAAACAAGCAAGACTCCCATTATACAGAATTGTCATCAACACGCTACACAAAACACATGACATATTTGTGCAGGTCACAAATATGTGACCTGTGTGGTCTATGCAGCAAAATAAACCTCTGCATAGGCCAGAAGATCATAATATTCGGTTGATATTTGTATGTATTGAGGAGAGTCTGCATTTTTCATTTACATTATCACAATAGTTCTGTAGAATCTCATCACGATGCTTTTGTTATTCCTATTTCACATGTGAGGAAACTGAAGTCCACAGACTAATCATTTTTCCACGGTCTCAAATGTAGTGGATATAAAAGTCAGAATACCAGTTCAACATTAGTGAATTCTAAAACTTATGAATTTAATAGGATATATCAACTAGCCAATTAGAGGAATGATGGTACAATGCCTGTAACAAAATTTATTTCTAATTTATGGATAGTGTTATTTTCTGGTTTTTTCTTCATAGCTGGGTTCTCCAAGCCTTCCAACATGAATGAGGTCCCAAGGATGGTTAGAGGGTTCTAAAGAACAATCTACCACACCTGAGGCAAGAATTTCATACAGCGCCATCATCCACAAAACTTATCAACAGATGACTCCTTATGAGCTAGATGAATGAATATTGTACGTGGCAAGAACAATGGGAAATTGATATTGGATGTTGACTCTGAAAATGGGCATCCATTAGTTATATTGTCAATACTTAGTATAAATGCATTTACAGAGGTTCTCCAATCTTGCTCACACAGTGATAAAAATGTACTTGGAATCTTCTAATGCTATTAGAATGGATGCTTTTACTGTTGTAAAACCAAAGAATCTATGGTCTAATGCATACTGCCAAGAGAGCAGAATCCTGCCTTTTTTTTTTTTTTTTTTTTTTTGTCTTTTTTGTTTTTACCGGTACCAGAGATCGAACTCCCGACTGCCTGCTTGCAAGGCAGGCACTTGTGCCGCTGAGCTAAATCCCCAGCCCCAATCCTGCCTTTTGAAATGGGAATTTCTGGAAATTTCTTCAGCATGGTGGAAACATAGCACACTATGGAAGGAGCACTAGGGTTTCTTGACATGAACATGGGATAGAAGCTGACTTTTATAGACTAATATACAAAGTATAAAAGAGGTAGTTAATAAATTTATATAAGTATAGGGAAAGTTTTTCTGTTACCTCATATATAGTTTAGTACTATTTTCTATCAAAAAAATCCTCTTAGTTTGAAGTTGACATAAGCCCCTTTACAACTCAGGTAGGTCTACAGTCTATAGCACTAATAGAATTCCACTTATCTGAGTTTTCAACTATTGCAGAATAAAGTTTATAGTCTTGAATAAGGTCATAGCTATAGAGGTATTGGATCTGTGGTATAGAGTATGTGGAATTGTTTAGAAATTTGTAGCAAAATGATCTTGTGGATTATATATGTTTCCAAAATAAATGAGAGAGAAAGAGAGAGAGAGAGACAAGAAAAGAAAAAGAGAAAAAGTAAAAGAAAGAGAGATGAGACAGTGACAAATGCTATAATTCATCTGATATTGAAAAGCATTATATTAGTAAAACGACAAAAAGCATTTTGCGTCAGAAAACACAGGAAGTCATTATCAGAACCAATGGCTTCAAAAGGAGGAAACTCTCACAGAATCTGATAAGCTCTAGATCCTTGAACAGCCAGCTTGTGCTCACTGAAAGCTGTCCTCAGAGCTTCAGAAACCTTTACCAATACAGTCAGGCAGTTCCTTAACCAAGACAAAAGCTTTCTATTCCCATTTTTTGTCTTCCCTACAACACAATTGAAAAGAACAATAGAAATCTCCACAGGGTTTTTAATTGTGTGCTATGGTACAAATTGTTGCCTTAATCAAATAGCTTATTCATATCCTAAAAGATCCTCCTAGATCATAAGCCAAAGCTATTTCAAAGGTATCTGTTCATGAAATTACAACTGACCTCATGTGAATTAGCATCCTGTGTTGATGTAAGTCTACAGGCTATGGGGAGGAAACCAAAAAAGATCATTGGGTATAAAAAGGTACTTATCTTTTGTCTTCCAGTTTCTTTTAAATTTTTTACTTTTTGCTCTTTTATCAAAAAACAGGGTATAGTTTCTGCATCCATGGTCCCAGTCACATGAGGTATTTTTATATTTCCTTTCCTTAGTATCGCATTGCTCTTCTGGACAAATTTTCACTGATACTTTTCTTTCAGAACAGGATAGATACTCCCAGTATTTGCCTCCACCGATCCTTTTATTATTCCTTTGCAGTATTAATGACAATTATAATAAGTTTATATCTTTCTTCCCTGAAAATTGAATCCTTTATTATGCAGATAGAAGTATGCTGTCCCAGGGAAGGACAGGACAGGGTTGGAGAATGAGCTCACGCTTGTGTGAGTCAACTCTTACTCCAGTTTGCTTGTAGTTCTCCCTGCTATGACAAGTGTTGCCCTACAGCCCGCGGCTAGGAAGATTATATCAGAATAGGCATTAAGGATTTCCCCTGAAGCAATTCAGTCATGGGAGATGATAACATTTCAATCATTATTCTTCAGTATGGTTTCCCCCGCAGGATCCAAGCTGCCCACCCCAACACTGCTTCACAGAGAGTAACTGAGGTCAGGCTTCATGAACTTAGGTTTTCTCAAACTTTAAAAAATTTTTTTCAAAACTTTCTTCTATTAATTCCGTAATCCACCCCCCCCCACCCATAGTTTCTCCTGATTTTTTGCAAGCAGAGCTACTTGTACATATCTGCTTCCATTTAGGGTTTAGTGGCTTTGGATAAAGCCCATGTCTTGTCCCTGTAATCTCAGGACATTCTCTCTCTGCCGTGGCAGTGAAATACTGTGCATGTAGATCTCAATCTAGCTCCACATTTTCCATGAATACTTATGAATACTGCTTCTGTTTCATACTTATGAGTAACACTTCCTAAGACTTTGCTCCCTACATAAGCAACATGATCATTTCTATCCCTAGAGAAATTATTCTACTGTTTTGAAATCTCTTTGGATCACAGAAACCCAGGATGGTGTTTATTTGCCTTCTCAGCCCTATAAACCTAAATATACCATGCAGTGAAGTCTTCTTTGGGGTTCAGTCAACTTCACATAAGTCCTGCAAAGAATATGTCTGACAACTTCTAGTGTATGCAACAGTATTTTAATACTCATTGTGTATGCAGGAGTATTTTGATTTAATTTGATATAATTTATTTCAAAAATTTTCTCTAATGTATGTCTTTTTGGTTTATAGTATAATTCAACAAAAAACTATTGGCTTTGATTCCTCCATATGTGTGTGCCTGAAGCAAATAGCATTGGAGAAAATATGATTTCCAAGTAGGATGGGATAGTCAAGATTTACTTAGAGAAAAATAACTCCTAAAACTTAACAAATATTCAAGAAAATATTATAATTTTGTCATCTAAACCCTGCTGTTATGATGATAGTTTAAATGTTAACATGTATTTAAAATATACAGCTCAAATCAATATGGGGGGTGAAATTTCATTGTTATACATGGCAGATTCAGAAAGACTTCTTCTGTGTGTTTCATTTATAACATCCACATGGCATTTCTATCAAGAGAATCATACAATATGAAAAGACATCAGAGTAAATATGAGTCTCTAATAGATGTTACAAAAATGACAAAAAATATTTTTTCAGTTAGCATTTATTATATCCTGAACTCCAAAAACCTATATATATATATATATATATATATATATATATATATATTCCAATTTAGTTTTTATAAAATCATAAGAAAATGTTAATGATGTTCCTATTCCATATATGACCAAACCAGAATGCATAGAGATAAAAACATTTAACAAATTCATACAATTACTGGATATTAGAACCAGAATTTCAATCCACCTATAGTGAAAAGCTAACAGTACAATTGGTTGAATCCAAAGTAGGTATACAAATTCTGAATTCCATGGAATTAATTTCTAAATGATTTTGAATAGACAGAGTTATACCTTGATACCTTGGAGTGCATGGAGATCTCCAAGTGAGGCACTGTAATAGTTGACATTTTAAATGAGTAGACCACTGAATGCCAAAACTGGAAATTCCGAAGGCAAGTGGGATAAATGTCATGAATATTTAATAGTCTTTCAACAATATAATTGAAGATAGTTAAGGTATGTGATTTCAGAAATACTCCCCAGTGTTTACTTGGAAAATGTAATGAAAGGTAATGCTTTTGGTAGGAATTTAAATTCTTGTGAAGTCTCCAAAATGTTGAAAAATTCTGGTAGCTTTAGCAACTCCACAGAAACAGGTGAGGAAGTGTGGATTTGTGGGACATTTCCTGCTATGTTTATGATCAGAGTACCAAAGGATAGAGACTTAGACCACACTCTGCATTAAACACACAGAGTAGGGACAGCTTTGTTCATTTTCTTGGTTGAAAAGACTGAATCAAGAGATGGCTCTGACTGTGACTAACTTTGCTGAAATTCATGCTTTCTCCAAAATAATACCAAGAATATGACCTGATCAAATGGTCTTGTCCAATTGGTGCAAAATGAGAGCCAGTATTCAATTGCAGGCCAAGGAAATTTCAAGCATTTAAGTTTTTGGTGTTGAGAATGTGGACTAGAAATCCTGATTGAGACAGAAGGAACATAGGTAATGGAGCTATCTAAGTATATGCTGTTTAAGCCAATATATGCTATTCCTCCTGCCACTCAGGAGGAAGTAGGCAGAGTGCAGTTTTTAATTTAAAAAGGAAAGATATATTCAAGAGATTTTCTAAAACAACCAAAAACAATAAAAACTTATTTTTCTTTAGGAAGAGAAAAACACAATCACCAAAAGAGATAACTCCACTGAGACATTAGAGATTAAAGGATCAACAAACATCATACCTCATCCTGGGAGCTGTCTCCAGAACCCTTCAAAGTCTTCAGTCACATCACTCAGCAGTCTGCATATTTCTCAGATGCAGCCAACTCCATGCAACAGTCAGCAGTCTCCTCAGATGCTTACAACCACACTATTCACCACTGAGAAGTCTCCACACACTTCATCCAAAGGTGTCCAGGCATCTCAGTTACATCCAAAAATACCGTCTTGCAGTCTTCAGACTCCTGAGATGATTGCAACACCCTGCAGCGGTGTCCAGACTTCTCAGAAGCCTCCAGTAGCATCCAGCAGTCTACAGACTCCTCAGAAGCCTCCGACTATACCATCCAGCAGCCTGCAAACACCTGTGAGGCCTCCACAAACACCATCCAGCAGTCTCCAGATTTCGCAAATGCCTCCAGTAGGATCCAGCAGTCTACAAACTCCTCAGAAGCCTCCAACAGCACCATCCAGTAGCCTGCAAACACCTGTGAGGCCTCCACAAACACCAAGCAGTAGTCTCTATAATTTGCAAATGCCTCCAGTAGCATCCAGCAGTCTACAAACTCCTCAGAAGCCTCTGACAATACCATCTAGCAGCCTGCAAACCCCCTTGAAGCCAACAAAAGCACCATCCAGCAGTCTCCAGACTCCTCAGAGTCTTCTAGCAACATCCAGCAGTCTCCAGACTCCACAGATGACTCCAGCCACAACATCCAAAAGTTTCTTAAACATGGTGAAGTTTCTGTCCCCATGATATATTGCCAGAAATTAAATAGCTTTCAAGGTTTTTTTCTCAATAATCCCTTATAATATCTGATGATTTACTTCATCAAATCATAATGAGATAATACTCTACATTTGAATTTTAACTCTTTATGTCCTTCACATTAGGATTATATATGACTCTGAATACCAATAATGTCTTGTTCATAAAAGATATTATTAGTCAGCCATGTGTTTAACTTTTTTTAAGTGTTAAATTTCATTTTTGTTTCAATATACCACAAAAGTATTACCTTCGGGTAAAATAGTTTGGCAAATAAGAGAGCCACCCATAATTTATGACTGATTATTTTCTTTTAGTTTTCTGTTACACAAATATCATTTACAAAATTGACAATAAGTAGGTAGCTAGATAAAACCTTCAGTTAAATTACGTGTATGAATCTCTCCCCTGAAACACCAAAATTCAGCAATATTTTTATCTTTTTATATGTTACATCAAAGCAAAGAGTAAACTTTTATTTCATTTTGAATAACATTACATGTATTTTTCTAGGCTCTTAAAAATCACTTATGATATCTTGACCTGCAATTCAACCATCAATAGAATTCAATAGAAATTAATTCTATTCAATAGAAATAAAATAGTTTAATTGCATGTAAAAGTTGCATTATTCAATACATAATACAAATAAGTATATTAATTGATACAGATTTAGATTCTCTATGCCTTCAATGAATATAAAAAATACGTATACCTTGAATCTTCTTTTGTCATTCATAGATAGTTATAATTTCTTCCCTAAATCTCAGGATGTAATGTCACTATTGTGGGATTCTCTGTTATTGGTTAAATTGTATAGAGAATGAACTTTCCTGGTGTGAGGAAGCATTCGACCCTGTGGAGGACCACCCAGAGTTAAGCCCCCTCATTCACATTGCAAGGTCTTCATGAGTTTTCAGCTTGGAATCACAGTGAGCATTGCTGGCCTATGGAGGCAGCGAGCCTGCCTTCATTCACTGGTTTCCAGGACTCCCACTTCCTCTTCTAGATCATCAGCCTCTTGCCAAACACTAGATTCTGTCCTGAAACTCTAAAATGGTACAGACATCTGCAAAGACAGGTGTTCAAAGCAAAGGTCCTTAAGGCCTAACTTCCATACCTATAATACTCCTCAATGCCTTCTCTTAATCAAGCTGAGAGCTTCTAGCCAGGACCCATCGAGTTCAGGACAGTTCTTGAGTTCTTCTAACAGCTGCCATACTAACCCTTATGAAAAAGAGCATTAATTTCTTGGAAGAGCTATATCTTTTAAAATGTTCCTTTTCATTTAGCATTAGAACAAGCTTCTATTACTCTCTAACATTTTTTTCATTTCCTCTATAAACTAAGTAATACCATGTGAGACAGTTTCCGTGAGTCCCCTAGTTAATGTGTTCTTTGAGCTCAGACATTGATACCGAGATGGCTCTTACTATACTGTGACTGTGTACTGCCTTAATTAATTGTGCTCATGTGTTATTGTTTACTGTCCAAGTAGATGTCAAGCCCAAAGTATGAACCTGCTGAAGAAAATGGTTACCAAGCGGGTCCTAAAGAAGTGATGGTGTTGAAAGTGACAGAACCATTTACCTATATGGTAACAGAAAGTGAACATAGGATGATTCACGCCACAGTGGCTACTGAAAACGCATTCTTCCGAGTGAAGGTTTTTGACATGAAATTTAAGGACAAGTTCATCCCCAAAAATATCATTGCCATATCCAATTATATTGGTCGAGATGGGTTCCTGGAGGTACACCAGGCCTCAAGTGTGTCTAACGTGAGTGCTGATCGAACAATGAACATCTCTCCTACTCTGATTAAGCATGCCAAAGCAACTCCTAAAATCAACCAGATTGGCCCACAAAGTGAAGGAAAATATGTAAATGGGATATTTCAAGTGTGTAAGGTAAGCCATAGCATTAATTTGTAAAATTTCTTCTGCAGTTCCAGATTTTAGCATTTCATCCTGCCAGCTACACTTTGGACAATCCACTGAACTCAGGAAACAAGCTCTCTTGTCAGGGTCATATGAGTGGAGTCTACTTGCTTCAGACCGTAGGATATTTAGGCTCCTAACATTTCTCTGCTGTAGGTATAACCATGAAAATTTAAGAACAAGGTTTTTCAAGAAACCTTAGTAGTTTATGTGGATCCACTATCTAGATCAATTCATAGTCATCCTGACGGAGGTTCGCACCTAGCCTCTTCGGTATCTATGACAACAGAATAGTGAATAAGGGTTGCTACCAATCAATGGGCTCTTGTAACAGCAGAATAAGTAATCAAATTATTACTCTGTAATAGAAAACAACTGTGTCCAACAGTAAGCCTGGATTCTGATCATTTGTGCTGTAAGCTGGTCTCACTTCTTCCCTTTCATTACTTTTCAACAAGAAATTGAACAACTGATTTCTGATCTAAATAATAAGAGAAATAGAAGATGAAGAGACTAGAGCAGGACTGGCAAACCTATGCAAAAATTCCACAGCAGGCACACAGGTCCCTCTTGTTCAGCTCATGAGCAAATTTGCCTCAACATCATCCCAACAACCAGGTATTCTGATTTAATTGCATTGTTGGCAGTTGGTGATAATTAAGTGGATTTGGGGTTGCAATTTGAGTAGCTTTTAAAAGATTTGCCATTAGTGTACTAGAGAAATGTACTACATGCCTCAGTTTATATACAAGAATTGTAAATTGCAAAGAAGTTTTTAGAACTAAAAAGGCCTTAGGTTGTGTTTTTTTTTTTTGTAACCTCTATGCTTAACTGTTTATTCAAAGTATTATCTCACACACCATACATCATCTTTTGTGGTGGTTTCTAACTTTTACCTAAATTATTACCTATGAGTTCTATTTAAATGACTATATGAGCATATTAAATTAGTAAAATAAGTGAGATAAAAATCAAAACAACAGGACAGGTGATATTGATTTAGTATTTGAACAGATTCAAGAAGAGTGACTAAATATAGCAGACAGAAGAAATTATAATTGAAATAGAATAACCCACTTCACAAAAATTAGTGGTAGTCTTTCTCAGTCTGCAGTAAGGTTCATATGGTCTTTCATCTTTAGTCTCATGGAGATATCAATCAGTAACCCATTAAATGAATGAGATTTCTCGCTAGAGTTATGAAATCTCAGGTATGCTGATATGCAATCAGTACAAATTAGAAAGATAATTCTTCTAGAAAAGTTGGATAGATGAAGACATTAAGTAAGGAGTGGCTCAGGAAGTTTTAAAAAGAAAGGATTTTCAGAACAAAATACCTTATGCAATCTGGTATCTCAAATATTGAACTCAGACTTCTGTTGACCTCGTTAGAAATCAGCATTTTCACTAACACTCTGTATTTCCTATACAGTGAAAATTTATGATACATTTCTTATCAGATATTTGCTGATACTATTTTTCAGAAAACAGTGAAGTCAAAATGCATTTTTTATGAAATACAAGATAATACAGGAAAGATGGAAGTAGTGGTAAATGGACAACTGGCCAATATCCACTGTGAAGAAGGAGATAAACTTAACCTCAGTTGCTTTAAAGTGGTCTTAAGTGAAGACAGCTATAAGCTGACATCTATACTTTATAGTCACCTCAAGGTAAGTGTTTTATGGGAGCACCATTCTTCCAAGTGGAAACAGTTATTTTATACTGTGCTTTAGAAAACTAGACTGCTGCCTTTAAACAAATTTTTACCTGGTGAAGAAAATTGACTTGCCTATTCTTATATGTAAACTAACTTCCCTTTCATCTTCTTTTTATAAGGGTATTTAAATTATACTGACAAAATTCAGACATTCAAATCTTTTTACCCTAAACTAAATAATTACTATCAAAGTAGAAAGATAATTTAACAAGAATTATTGGGTTTAATTAACAAAGATTGGTCTATATTCTCAGTCTATTTTTTTTTTACAGTTGACTAAAGATTTGAAGACCAGGAATTTCAGGGTCACAATCTACAAAATAGGGGAACTATTTGCTACCACAAGGTTCATAAGCAGAGCTCATATCAAACATTAATTAGCAAAGATTCTCTTGAAAATCAGAACACAATGGAAAGATGCCTTTAGAGAAATACTGCAGAATAAAGGCCACAGTGTATGTCATACTGATATAAACTTTCATGTGGCTTCATAGAACCCTAAAACCAGCTAAGAGTGGAATGAAAATTAAATACAAATGAAATGTAGCTGTTATGCTGTCTAGGAACACACACATGCACCTGCTTCTAGATTTCTCCAGCTCTAGTTTTAACCCTAGTATAATCTTCCAAACTTTCCCTCACAGCAGATACAGCAGAAAGCACATTGGATGCACCACACACTCTCCTACCCAGTGATAGTGCTCCACCCAGTTCTTGCCATTTAGGCTACACCAGTCCCTCTCCTCCTCTAGTCTGTCCTGCTACTTCTCCTGTGCTCCTGATGGATACAAATATTTAGCACACTTCACGATTCCAATCACCTTGGAGGTGTGACTCCAAAGACAGGTATTCATGAAAGGATACACAGGGAGAAAGGCAAGGAAAGAGATGTGGTTCATAGTTGTGGAAATTGAGTCTCAGAATTATTTTGTAAAATTTCTTCCACAACACCAGATTTTGACAGAAGGGAGAAATGTGTAAGCAGCTGTATCTCAACTGATCTGTTTTTATCATGCTCTTCTTTAAGGTCATCAAAACCTGGAAAAACAAGATGTAACTGCTCAATTCTGATTCAAATGTGGAAACCTTACTGGAGACCTAAAAACCTGGATGCCACCAGTAGTGATGCTGACAGAGATAAAATCCAAGTTTAGGAAGAAGATATAGAAGATCAAAGTTTAAGAAAAAATACCTAAAACTCAGCTCTTAGCTGGTCAAGGTAGTTCATACCTAAAATACTAGCACCAGAAGATGAAACAGAAGGATCAAAATTTTAAGCCCAGTGCTGGGGATTTAGCTCAACAGCATAAGCACCTGCCTTGCAAGCATGGGGTCATGAGTTTGATCCCCAGAGCCAAAAAAAAAAAAAAAATAGATTAAGCCCAGTGTGAATAATTTAGAGACTTTGCAATATCCTATCTCAAAAAAAATTTTTGAAGGGTCACTGCAATATCCTGGTTTTGATCACCACCACCAAAACGAATAAACAAAAAAAGCAAACACCCAAAATATGATTAAAAACAAAAGAACAAAACAAAACAAAATGAAAAACAAAAAACATAAAAGAGCTGTAAAATAGATATTTTGAGATTTTTTACAATATTCATTTTGCATCTTTTGCATTTTCTACATTCCATATTTTTACTCTATAGCTTTTACAATCTTAAAATAATAAACATCTATTTCTAAAATGTTTTTTCTCCAGTAGTGTATGTACTCTGTATTTCATTTGCTTTTCAGGAAATAGTATATAGCCTGTATCAGGATGGGGAATCAAGACTAAAACCAATATTACAATTTATTCTTTGATTGTGGTCTGTAAGCATCAAGCCTGGTGAGGCATAAACAAGCTGTGTATTGTTCAGAGGAATCATGCTAAGAGCAGGTGGGGGCTGAAATCCAGCGGAGCTTCAAATGCCAAGACCTGTGTCCTTGAAGAGTTAACTAGGTCAGGACAAAATTATCTTCTCAGAATTTTTCCATTATGGAAGGCACATAATGCCAAATGAGTGCCTTACGATGACTTCTATGGATGAACTAATATGTCAGGAGAAATTATGGCCCTGTCTGATGCCAAATATCACTCAAACACCACTGCCTCCTCAGTAGCTCTCCCACCTCTATTGCTAGATCTCACTTTCCACACATTGGATCCATCAGGAATCTGTCCCGGGCACAACTGCTTTAGGTCAAGACTGAAGTTTGCTTTTAATAACAGAAGTATATATGTAGTATTAAAATTTACTGTTATATCTACAGATCATATGTTTGATATCTGATATTTTGCGATGTTTATGTCACTCGATCTTCACACTAGTTCTAAAAGTTTGATTGCTATTTTTTTTCCTTTTTACTCTGTAATAGGGGAAAAATCCCACAAAATTAAAATCACTTTCTTAGTGATATGTATCTGGTATATTAGACCTTGATTTAGAATCTAGGTTATTTCAAATTGAAGTATATGTTTCAGAAGGAAGAGTGTGAAGTTGAGGTGAAAACTGAGGAACACAATAAAAGGTTTGTCAGCTCATTGTGGGGACCAAGGGAGACATTGTGGATGAAATCCCCAGATCAAAGATGTCTGCCACAGCACTAGACAGCATAGAACACAGCAGGGTGCAGGATTCCAGGATGGCAAGAGTCACATGTTTGTTTTATAATTCTTACACAGGTTGTTATCACATATTTACATTCTTACTCAATACCACAACCAATGCACATATGTTTATCTGTGCTAAGCCATGGTTACATAACTGTACACCTCCCTAGGCCTGCACTCAACAAGCGGGGTCGCTTCCTCAGGTATTCTTAGTTCCAACCGAGCTTCAGACTAGTCTGAATGGTTACCCACAGAATTTTAACGCTGTAAAAGCCAATGCTTTAATGCCCATATTTTCTAAGAAAAAAGCACTAATGTTCTACCATTATATTTTGGAGCCAAACATGCAAAGAATAGCAATACATTACTTCCCTTAAAATTTTATGTCTTTTATTATAGTAGGCTTAGAGGCTACATAGGCTAACTATACATCTTCTACCCTATTATTTGATACTATTCTAATAATGTATATATTTTCTAGTTATATCTACTTATACATTCAAAGTTATGTACATAGATAACTGTACATGTAAATACATTACATAATAATATTTGTTTTTATAGATTGCTTTGGTTATTTGGGGAACCACATTCTGAAGGAAATATAAAAGTGATAAAATCTAGTTTCCTCATCTGTACTGAAAAAAACGAAATGCAGTGATCAAAATCACAGCATTGCTTCCCTAGCTAGGAATACACTCCACCGTGAAATTTCAGACTGTAACAACTTCCTCTAAATTCAAATTTGACTTTTAGATACCAAGGAGAAAGTTCATTTTAATACATACATTCTGTTTATACATTCTGTTTATCTTGAGTCAAACTAGTGCTTCATATAACTTCAGATAAAATTTATGTAATTAATTCTTGAAAATGCAAATGATGCTTATTAAGAGTTAGATTATAGTCACTGAATTGATTTGCCGGGCGGTTTTGCTTTCCTGATCAAGCTGATTCTCATTTGAAATTGTAAGATCAACATTTCTCTAAATGATATAAGCAAGAAACTACATTCTCCTCCAACACAAAATCTCCCTTTTGATTTTGTTTTCCCTTAAATAGTTTTATCCTCCAATTCCACAACCTCCCTCTGCTTTACATTCTTGTGCTCTAAGCCTTTCCAGAGCTCCTCACTGGCATCAACATAGTGTAACTAAGAAGCTAGGGCTGCATAGAATTTGAAATATTGAACCGAACAGAATGTCAGGACACTTCACAGAGACGTTAATTGGGCAGAGATCTTTGTAACTAATGGTTTTGAAGAATGAAAAGAGTGAAGAAACCTTTGCAAAGATCTCTGAAATAACAGACTATGACACTAATTAGAAAAAGCACACACAACTGCTTGACATAGTTTCTTCAATTGCTCAAGCAAGGATAACAACAGAATCAATATAATATTAATTGCTGAACCATCACTATTATGTCATTTCTGTTATTAGATGAAGCACTAACCATCAGCTACCCTCTATGAACAATTAAGATAGTCATTGTAAGCATTTTTTGTCATTTATATTTCTTATGTAACAATGTATCTTAGAAACCTTTATCAGTCAGACTGTGTAAAAGTAACATATCTCAAAAAGATTTTAATGAAAATTTAGGATTTGTTTAACTCTTATTTTAATTAATTAATGCTTGCAAGCCAAGGTGTCTAGGTTAAATTTCTAAAAATAGAATTTCTAACTCAAAGAATATAAACATAAAAGTGTGTTCATATATATGTCCCAACTAAATCTTGTGGGCATTGTTTTTAATAAGTGCACCAACATCACATTAACAAACACTGGAAATTATTAACCTCATGAGTAAGAATTTTGCAATTTTAAAGTCCTCAAATGAGTCTTAATGGGTCTTCTCTAAAATTTTATTTTATTTATTATTATCAAAGGGTACTTATTTCAGAGAAACGTTTTAAAAACAAAATGCAATAAGTATTAAAAATATCACGGTTGTAACTTGAATATATTCTGTTTATTACTCAGTAAAATGCCCACAATGAAATTCCTTAAAATGAGTGGAAGTTTTTGGAATTTTTACAGAGGCATATAGTCTTGTTACCACCACATAAATCAATGTATAGGATAGTTTAGCCTAATAACAGGTAATATTTTCCCTGTCTGTGTGTCTTCTGTAGTTTATTCCTTTTAATTGTTCAGTAAATTTTAGTCACATGGATATACCAAAGTTAATCATTGCTCAGATGAACATGGCTTGCTTAAAGTTTTGTATAATTACAAATAAAACATCTCTAAATATCCACATACAGGTTTTGTGTGAAATTGCACTATTACTTCAGGTATATAAAAAAGTTGGAGTGAAATTTCTGGGTCAAATGACAAGTGTATGTTTAACTTGATAATAAATTGCTTCACTGTGGAGGATTGAATAATGCTTTTCCTTTCCTGTAACAAGTGATAGTTTCTGTTCCTTTTCATTCCCCTTAGAATTTAACATTGTAGGGCCTGGCAGATAGCTCAGTGGCACAAGTGTCTGTCTGGCAAACGCAAGGTCTTGAGTTTGATTCCCCGTACAAATAAATAAATGAAAGTATTTAATATTGTAGAGGTATATTAACCAAACCCTAAATCTATGGCTAGTCTTTCAGTCCTCTTATGGTAGTTTTTGAAGATATTTTGCATTTTTGTAAAGTTCAAGTTTCCTAAATATACCTTTAAATTGTAGTTTTGGTATCACATATAACAAACTTTTGCTTAAATCAAGATCCCAGGTATTTTGTATTGCGTTCTCTGGAAATATTTTTGTTTTAGATTTTTGCATTTAGTTAAAGTCCTTTCTGAGTTAGTTTTCTATTAGGAGTATAGTGTAGATAAGTTTGATTATTTTAACATGAATATAAAATTATTTCTATATTATTTGTAAAAAAATCCTTCTTTATAGTTCTGTATTTGTGCTCTTGTAAAAAAATCAGCAGCTTGCATATGTGTAAGACTATTTTGTTTTCTGTTACTCTATATACATAGTCTTTCTTCAAAACCACAAAGCCATTTTGTTATCTACATTTCTTTCAAAAATATTTTCCCTAATCATTTACCAGGGCATCACAATATATATCTATATTTTTACAGAATCCAGTTTGGAATAACAAGCTGCATCACATGTTGAATAAAGTCCTTGTGACAGTGTACTTCTCATTCTTACTTTTTATATTTGATGCTACTTCTGCCCTGGCTTTTACTTTTAAATATTCCATCAATATGCAATATCTTGCTAATATATTTGATGGCATTGGCAAACTATGAGTTATGGTCAAGTTTTCTCTTTTTGTAGAGTATACTTGCTTGCTTTCCAACACAGTTCAAGATAAAAATGGTTTTTATATTTTTTAAATATTTAGAAAAATATAAAGTGTAATATTGTGTGAAATCTGAACATTATATTAACTTAAAATTTTAAGGTATATAAAAATGTTTCATTGGGATGCACACATTCTCACTCATTTATATACTGTCCACGGCAATTGTAACCAATAGAGATCTCAGCAGTTACAGTTAAAACCATATGTCCTCCCCAGCTGAGTATCTGCATTGGCATTGGCCATGCCCTGCTTTAGATTATCCATTTATGTCTTGATTTTGATTATTGGTTTTCTTCTGGGAGCTTAAATATAAGGATAAAAAATAAATTTTTACATTTACTTAAATGATTTTTTGGTGTACTTTACGTAGATAAAAGTTTCTTTTGGTATCATACTTATTTGTCTAAAACACTTACTATAACTTTTAATTCACTTCCATGATAAGTAAATGATCTATTTTTGTTTCTATGAAAATCTTTTTACTTCTCTTCCATGTTTGAATACCTTTGATGGTTATTAAAATTCTAATTTAACAGTTGTTTTTTTTTCATTTAGAATTTTTAAACATGTTAACCCATACTCTTCTCAGTTGGATGTATTCTGACAAGTCTGCTCTGATATTTATATCTCCGTGTATCTATATGCATCTTTTCAAATTTCAAGACCTTTGCTTTGTTTCTGGAATCATTTCAAATTAAAAAGATTCTGCAAAATAATGGAAATAACCAATAGATGGAATAATAAACATCTCTGGTCACCGGAGAAATGCAAATTCAAACAAAATTAAGATACTCTATTACTCCATACAGAATTGGTATCATCAAGAAATCAAATTAACAAATGCAGCTGAATCTGGAGAGGGAAACAAAGCTTTCTACACTGTTGTTGGGAATATAATCTACTGCAGCCTCTAAGGAAATCAGAGTGGTGATTCCTCAAAAAACTAAAGATCCAAATTCTATTTAACCCAGCTAATCCCAATCTAGACATTTTCCCGAAGGAGTTCAAGGCAATGAATTATAGTGCTACATGCATATCCACATTTGCAGAGGCACAATTCGTAAGAGGTAAATCCTGGAAGCAGCCTACATGGCCACCAACAGAGGAATTGATAAAATAATGTATTTACACATAGTGTAGTACTATTCTGTTCAAAGAAGACACAGTGGAACCATTTGTAGGAAAGTTGATACATTTTAAGAAAACTACATTAAGTGAATTTAAATGGATACACAAGCTTAAATATTGTATGGTTTCTCTTATATGAGAAACCTAAACTATAAAGAAGATAAAATAGAAGATACGTAATAGGGATGAAGGAGAGATCTTTCGCGATCAGAAAGGGACCAAAAGATAGAGGGAAAGGAAGGTGATAAAGGAACAACTGAGATGTGCTAAATACACTTCCCATGAGGAATGTACTGCAAACACATAAAAATAAAAAGCAAAAACTGAAAAAAATTTGTCTTTGCTTTTTAGACATTTGAATATTATATATTTCAGTGTTTACACATAGCTAATTGTTACTATATCTCATCATCTTGATTTTGATTTCTCTTTTGATATACATTTAAAATCTATGTGTCTCACAACTTTTGTTGTAAACCAGAGACTTCCTGGAAACAAGCATGGGCAGTCCTTCACTGTGGGCTCACTGGGATGCTGAGTCAGGAGTGAGTCTGTGTTTGTGATTTCTTGTTAGCTACTCTTACTGCTGTGTCTGGGTGCTAATGTCTGCTTCAGCATCAGATTAGGTCTTCCCTTTACATCCAAACCTAAGAAAATTAATTCTGGAGCAGAGGAGTGAATTGAGGAGTGAAACATTGCAAGAACCTTAGAACAAAAAAGTAAGACCCGCAAGATGTCCATTATATCTTACAAAAAGAAGACAAGAATACTATTCCACAGGGGCTCTCACTCAGAGATACTTGTGTATGGAACATGCTGTTTTCACATGTGAAGACTATTTGACATGTCAGAATTGAAGTAAAGATTTATTTTTTGTAGAGTTTTGCTTGTATTTTAATTGTAATTCATAGAAGTATTTATTACTGTTGCCTTTTAGATTTTGTAAACACTTGATCTAGAAAATGTTGATATTTATTATAAATATAATACATATTAAAATGTAATATTTTATTTTCTGGTTAAGTAAACATTAAGAACCTCCTAACAAAACAATAAGAGCCCCAAGATGTCAAATGTATCCTACAAAAAGCACAGGGCAGGAAAATACATGTGCTATCAGTGTAAGTGATTCTTATATGTGGAAGATGTTGTTTTAATGTGTAAAGATGGCCACACCCTAATTAAATAAGAAATATATTTTTGTACTGTTATTTTCCTATTTGCTGCAGTTTATATAGGTAATTATTATGTTCTTATTTTTTAGATTTTGTAAACAAATAGTGTTGAAAATGTTGATATCTGTTATACTCCATACCTTTGAAAAATTTAAAGTTTTATTTTATTGATATCTTATTTTCCCATTAAGTTCTTATTGTATAGTATAATAAAATTAAAATAAATAATTCATTAATAAAAAATGTTACAATATATAAATTTTGGTGTTATACATCCTCCTGATTCTCATTTTGTAGGAAATTTAACCTGATGGATCCCAAGTTTTACACAATAAGGAAAGTTATTAGCCATCTCTACTTGGCTATGAAGAAAGACCAAATTAGTATCATCTGCTGTATTTTTTTATTTATTTTTTCCTTTTTATTGGTACTGGGGATCGAACTCACGACTGCCTGCTTGCAAGGCAGGCACTTATGCCGCTGAGCTAAATCCCCAGTCCCCAAATTAGTATCATTTGCTTCACTGACTCTAGACCTTGTTATAGACCCATAACTTCTGAGTTTTTTTTTTCCATTCTGACACTCATGCCCTTATATTTCAAACATCCCAGAACACAGGGACACATATTTGAGTGGGATGAGTCCTTCCCCTTGGACCAAGATTCTCAGGTCCTTAATCTAAAACTTAAAAGAAAATACAATTCAAATACTGCTTGACCATCACTTTCAGTCATTTCTTTCTCAATATACTAATGTGAAAAATTAGGCAAAACTATATGAAAATATAAATTCCAATTTTTCCGTTTTTGCTCAATAAATTTAAATAAATTATAGATTTCACTCGTTCCACAAAGCCTCAAAACAAGATGTTGAGCATGACTTCACTATTATATTTGCAAGAATAAAAAACCCATCTTTGATTAGGGTGCATAATATAAAGGAAAATAACAAGATCAAAAATTGACATCTTGAAATAAATGAAATTATGAATCTGGTAAGGATCCTAAGTAAAGGATTTTTGGGAAATTATTTATCTTAGGTGAAATTAGCAAATAGATAATGGAAATAGTAGAGATAAAGACAGAAAGAAATACATGATATTGGTGAATGAGTCTATGCTTTCCAAAGTTCATATTAGATCTTAATCCCTAAAGCAATGATGTAGAAAGGAAGGACTTAACGGGACATATTGAAGTCATGAAGCTTCTAGCTCACAATGAACCAGTGACACAATAAAGACAGAAGTTGGGAGTGTGTTTACTCCTTTTTGATCTCTTCCATGTGAAGATGGAGGAATAAGTTCCCATGTAATGTCAGCATCTCACTCTCAGACTTAACAGATTCTAGTCATTTGACATCTAAGTATGTATTCTCTATAAAATTCTGTTATTCTAATAAAGTAGCACACCGTGATTAAGACAGCAGGAAAGTATGCCTTGTCTATAACACTGAAGGTCAAGTAAATTTGGCTGGAATGAACTAGGAATTTCATTCACACATGTGTCATGCTATGCAAATGAGATGAATGATGTATCTTTCTCTTTCTCTAACAGTGTCCAAGTACAGACAGGCATATACTGCAAGCACTGTGCACTCCCTCTCCTCATTACAACCCAATATTCCCTGTACGTAAGTTTTCCCAGATTAAATCTTGAAACATTCCTCAAGCTGGAGTGGTGTCCCTCCTGATTTGATCTGAGCATTCTGCGTGATGAGACAGATCACTAATTGTTTAATAATGCCTTAAAAGTCAGGAATAATGTTAGTTTCTAGGCGTTTCATCTCTTCATCTTCTAAAATGTTTACAAAATGAATTATTCTTAATTGTTCATGGGAAAATAATAATGTGTGTTGTATGTTGGAATTCTAACTAAAGCCATAAAGCTTTAATGTACTATAATGATTCCTTAATCATATGAAATGACTAAGGGCAATGAAAATGCAACCATGATCATTCCTAACATTCACCCTCTATTTTCAGAGCTCTCATGAAACAATCTGGTCTCCTTCTAACCACCCTAATCTTTCTGTCTCTTTGTCTCTGTCTCTCTCTCTCTGTCTCTGTATCTCTCTCTCTATTACCTTAAGACCAGCTCAACATATACACAGAAACTGCAACCTATATACAATCTCCTTCACCAAAGGACACAAAAACCGTAAACACTCAAAGGTGTTTGCGACCCTTGCTACAGATTTTCCTTCATTTTTCTTTGATATACGTTCAGAGGGCTTAAAATTCACAATTCAGCCTTCCTTTTTATCAGACTATCTTGAATTAACGTACTCCACATTCTTCTTCCAGGTAGATGGCCTCAGTTCATTTGTCTGCACTCCATGTTCCTGGGGACCCTGCTACCAGGCCTGGGATCATGTTGCTTTCAGATCACCTGGTGAGTTACCAGAATCCACCCACAAGTTTGTTCTGTTTGTTAGCATATGAAAGTTGCCCTGCTCCAGAAAGCATCTACCATCCACAGAAAAAAAACAAAAACCTTCAGAACAGAAGCTACATCTGGTCAACAACTCCACCAGAAGTTTAGCAATCTTCCACAATTTTCAAAGCTATCGTGTTATTTTGTATTTCTCCATAAGTAAAATGAGAGACTGAGTAATTGTGAACTTAATCCTTGTAATAATTCAGTCTAGTAGTAGTGAAGAGGATAGCTAGAGCCACAGTTGCTCTGATTTTGTTGGTAGAACTACATGCTTGGAATGACATTATGTTCCGGCAATCCCCATGATGATGCACTATTATGAGCAGCTGGAGTGAATGAGTCATGTAGTAGTTAACAAATAGCGATTTCCTAGCAAACCCTTCCCCATCCAGGAAATGTATTCTGCTAATGTTAGCAATAGAAATCCTCCTGCTGCGGACTCTGTGAGCAAGCCAGAAGAAGAAGCTGTAAGTAGATACTTATCTGAAAAGTACCTCCTCATTTTAGAATTTAGATTCAGTGTCAAGTTTTAGATAGGTTCCTAAGAACCCCTAAGCAAGGCTGTTGGATATAAAAATTCTTTCATCTGTTGTGATTCTTGTGAAAAAAAAAAAAAGGTAAACATAAGAGTTCTAACTTGTCATGATCACAGAGATGTTACAAGTAAACTGCAGTTTCTCTGATAGAGAAAATTGAAAGTTAAGAGCAAGGATGGGAGGAGCCTCACCCTCTGTCCCTGGGCTTCTGCAGTGTGAGTCACACAGCACTCCTGAGATTGTTGGATGACACAGACCACTATCATTTCTCCTTGTTACAATCAGAAATACTTTATTTGCTTAACATTTCAGAAAATTACAACATCTTGCTGCTCAGTTTCCCAAAGTTTCACTGATTAACCTTCCTCTTCAAGCATAACCTCTACTGCTTCCTGCATTGCTAAAATCTCAAGATCCGGGTTCCTGCTGAAAATATTTCTAAGAAGGTACGTCTTCTTGGTTGTTTGTTTGTTTGTTTGTTTGTTTGTTTTAGATTTCTCCTAGAAACTCACAAAATAACCAAAGTAAATCAGTGTTGGTCTTTCTGGGGTGCAATTGACGGTAGTAGAGTTAGTGCTAGCTGCATTTAAATTAGCTGTGATGACTGGATTCTGATCTTTTATTTAGGGAAATAATAGGTATGTTTGTACTTACAAAACTGAGTCCTAAGCCACATATTTTATGATCGCTGATTATGAAATAAATGATCTGAGAATTGTGTAATTGAATAGAAAGTTAGATTGCAAATGTTATTTAATAATTTTACAATAAGTTTATTTTTTATTGTTCACATTTTCTAAATCCTTATAGTGGCTTTTTTCTTGTTCATTTAACAATTGATCAAGATACTAAAGTTGATATTTACAAGAGATCTTTGATTTCTTGGTTATGGAATTCATAGAAATTATAGTAATTTTTAAGAAATATAGCAACATGATAGTGGCAGGGAAAACATCATGAAGTGACATCAGGTAAAAAAGCACATGTATACATAAAGTTTCCCTTATACTGATATTCACATTTTAGAAAACAGAAACCAGTGGACACGGTAGTGTGAACTATTTGAGAGCCACAGCTATTCAAATAGTTGCTGTCTCAATATTTTTTAAGTACACTTCACTTTTTATTTATCACCTCGTGTATCAAGTAATAAAGGCAATACTTTAGTCTCCTTGGAATAGATTATGAAATTCTTAAAGGTGATTAATTTTTGCCCCTGAGGAAACAAGAAGTAGCTGAGAAGTAGGGAGATCAGTTAGGAACATTTCTATTACCTACTTTAAATTTTTAAAAGACCTTCTCTAGGGCCTGTTGCAGTGTTTGGTGTGTAATAGAATAGAAAGTTAGATTGTGAATGTTGACTTCTTAATTTTACAATATGATAAATCCTGTTAAGTGATTTTTACCTTGTTCAATTAGCAATTGACAAAGTTACTGCAATATCTACTGTAAAATGGAGGATTTTTTTCTTGTTCGTCTTTCCAATTCAAAAATGTATACGCATTCATCTATATATATACACATATATATATACACACACACACACACACACATGTGTATATATATATATATATATATATATATACACACACACAATTTGTGGCACGCATATTACAGGCATGTAGGTATTTGAGAAATATAATTCATACTATTTATAGAATCATGAAGAAATATAGATTTATACCAAATTGAATATTGTTAATATTATAAAAATCTATGCTTAAGGCTGATGTATCCTCTTAGGAGCTGAACTTTTTGTCATTATGTGGTATCTGATAATGCTTTTAATCTCATCTTACTGCTTTTAACCTTTAAAGCTATGTTAATATATTTAACTAGCTTTCCATTATTACATTTTGCACAGTAATTTGATCTATTTTCAACATTTGGTAAAGTTTTGTTAACAATATATAGGTAGATGTCTTAAAGCAAATTTGATGATTTGTTGTATAACTGACTTGACCCTTAGGTATGTGCCATAATGACATACTTTGTTTTTGCTATCTTTTCTTTAATATTGAATAGCATTTCAGTATTCTCTTCCTTGTATATTTCCTGTTTTTCTTCTCTTTCATCGTAGCCAGTTTTTAAAACCTAAGCACCATCAGTCAATGCTGTTTTCAGATGATTTAATTTTGGCTTGTAGGATTCTCAGCTTTACTTATTATTCTTTGGTTCAATATTATTTCCAATCAGTGTGTGTGTGTGTGTGTGTGTGTGTGTGTGTGTGTGTGTGTTCCCTCTTGAAACTACCAAAGTGTTTAGTATCAGATAATAGGTTTCTATGGGTTTTTTGGTTGTTGTTTAAATACCATTTTAATCTAGCTCTAAAGTTCTTTTCTGGATTTTTTTCACATAAGATATGTTGAGACCATCTATTATGCATGTGTAAAATAAATATATTTGGAAATTTAGAATCTGGATGTTGCAGAAGGCTATTTAATATATTCTAAATACTTTACTACTAGAAATTCCATTGGCATTTGTATGACTATGCCACAGTCAAATTCAATAATATTTCAACTGCAAAATTTAGAAAGCTCTTATTTAAATGAAATGAACAATTATACATAGCCACTCTCATCTCACATCTGATTATATTTAACAAATATGTTGTGTTGTCAGAGTCACCAATCAAGAATTTTTATTTTTAAAACATTTGGTTTTGCAACAAAAACTGGGTTTTGGACAAGTGGTACATAAAAATTACTCCACTTGTTGCAATCTGTTTTGCTGTTGAGAATGATTTTCCAATATGATTCTTAAATCTCTGTAGGTAGTCCACTCTTTATGGAGACTTATATAGTATGTGTTTTGCACTTAATTCTCTTCCATTTCACTCTCTACAATGTGTCTTTGTATGGATGTACCCTCATTAGATGGGACTTTCCAATCTGAGGGTTTCCTTGCTCCCTTAAGAAGGAAGCAATTAACTGCTTCAGGAATTTGAATATTTGAATTATACAAAAGATACACAAACATATGCCTCCTTAACCAAAAGGATTTGTAAATTTTTCAAGAAATCAGAATCCATATCATGCGCTGAGTGTCATGAAGAAAATATACTGGAGTTAAAGAGGTTGTGATGCACAACTGTCAGTCCATTTTAGAACTCTGAAAGCTTCCAGAAGACAAAAACAGAGTTGAACCTAAACAGTTGAATGGGAAGCAATAAGAGCAAGAAATTGCTGGAATATTTTTCCAGGAAAAGCAAAGGGAATTAGCAATGACATAAAATATGACAAAGGACGGTGTGTTGTGTATTTTTAAAGAATACAATGTATTGACTAGAAAAACGTAGATCTAATTGTAGGCCTCTGCTTGCTGGCCACTGCATTTACAAGGCTTGTTTACTGAGGGCAGCCATTATGGGCAGGGAGACCCTGTAGATCTACTTCTGCTTGCCAGCTGCCACCATCACAAAGCTCGCTTCCTGTGGGCAGCCAGTGCAGGCAAGTCCAGGGCAAACAGCTAGTCCAGCGGCTGAAAACTGCTGCCACCATTCTGTTGGCAACCAGAGGGCAACCAGTGTGGGCAAGGATACCAGCCAGGTCTTCCTCACTTGCTGGCCACCGCCATTGGAAGGTTTGCTTCCTGCGGGCAGTCAGCACAGGCAGAGAGATACAGTCAGATAAACCCCATGCACCTGCAAGCCACCACTGGAGACTCTTGTTTCTTTGGGCATCCAGTGCCCACACTAGGAGAATCAGACAAGCACACCGCTGTGTGCCTGCTGCCATTGAGGAAGTCCCAGTGTAGACATGCAGGTTGAGGAAAAAAAGCAGCTTCACCACCTCGTACTCCTGGTCATCGGGGAAGTCCCAGTGTAGCTGCAAAGGTCTGGAGAAGACTTTCCCATGCCTTGCTATCTCCCTGGGAACCTGTGTTCAGAGAAACCCAGGTATCTGGCCTATTCTACTACACTTCTGAAGGTCAGTCACCATAGGAAGTGCATGAGACCTCACCACCAGCTTGTTGGGAGGAACCCAGGAGAATGACAAGACAGTGGAATGATAGGCAATCTTAGACCTCCAACCCACAAAAACGACTCTGGAAGATATAATCATGCAAGGAAATGGAAGGCACACACCTAAATCTCTGAGAGGATACCAACTGAAGTAAAGAAACAACCTCATGAGACTGTGAAAGTAATCACATCAGAAATAATCTCTCAGGTAAAAGGAGAAATCAAAAACAATTAAAGAATTTATGGGCATATCTAAAGAAGACATAGATAAAAATATGAGCATAGGAAAATGGTGGCAATGTTCAATGAACAATATAAGAAGGATTTACAATGCATGAAACAGATTCAAAGAGATATTCAGGAAAAGAAAAAGTCAATCAAAAGCTGGCCAAAGGGCTTGAAAGAGAATAAAGATCAACTTTCAGACCTTGAAGACAGCACTGCAGCTGGCAAACATGAAAGAAAGAGCTCTTAAAAATAGCAAGAAACCAGTAAATAACAATTGAATGGTTGCAAGTTGATACAAAATAATTAAGACTGATAGGCATCAATAAAGAAGCAGGGGCCAAACTGAAAAGAAGTGAAAAGGCTATTTACAGAAGTAATAGCAGAAAACTTCCCACACATGGGAAAAGGATCTGGTATATAGAAAGCAAGGCATATAGAACTCCAATTAGCCATAGCCAATGTAAATCTACACCTAGACATATAATAAACAAGATTTCAGATATTCCTCACAAGAATGCAATATAAAAAGCTGTCAGCGAAAAGAAACAGATCATTAATAACGGAAAACTAGTCAGAATCATGACAGACTTGTCAATACATACCATTGTCAAGAAGAGCTTGAAGTGAAGTGTTTCAAATCCTGAAAGAAAACAACTTACAACCAAGATTGAGGTACTCTACAAAACTTTCAAAATTGTGGAAAAGTAAGATATTTCTATGATAAAGAACAACTGAAGGAATTCATGTCTACCAAACCAATGCTACAAAGTGCTGAATGATAATCTAGAGAGATAGAAAGATGACCATCGGTCCAGGAAGAGCAGCAGAGGAGGATCTCCAAAGAAGACAGGCAATTAAATGAAGGGGAATGTTGGTTGTAACCATTAATACAGATGACTTCAATTCATCAATAAAAAGAAACATAGGGATAGTGTATCAAGAAACAAGATCTATCAATATATTGTATACAGAAACACATTTAACTCAAAAGCAAATTCATAGACTGAAAATCAAGGGAGAGAAAACAATTGCTCCATGTGACAGGAGATCAGTAAAAGAGTAATTTGCCCATCAACTGCAGAATGGATGAGAAAGATATGGTATTTTCACACAATGGAAAGTTACTCAACTATAAAATAGGATAACTTCAAGGCTCCTGTAGGTAAATGGATGCAACTGGAGGTCATGTTCATGTGCAAAACTGTTTGAAACCACATGGGTGAAGACTGAGTTATCTCCCTAGCATAAAAACCTGAAGACGTTAGTAGGACTCAAAGAGCAAAGCAGATATTATGAAAGTGATAGGGGAGGAAATGCCTAAGAGGGAAAATGATAACTGCAGCTAATTTCTAACTGTCTTGTCTTGAACTCATATAATTTTCATAATTTTGTTAGTTTTGTCTTTGTTCTGTTTTATATAGTTAGATTTTACTGTGTCTGATATATGAGCAACTAGTTTGAAGATAACATGATGTATTATGGTAACTATTGTTAGTTTCCTATTATCCTGTTTTGAAGTCCAATAAGGCTTTCATTCTGTTGTTTAGATTGGTTTTATTCTATTTTGTTTTGTTTTTAATACGTATGATGGAATGTGCAGCTATTTTGAAGGAAATGATATATTGTGGTAGCCATAGTTGATTTCCTGTCATCTTGAAGTCCTATGATGCTTTTACTCTTTTGTGTTGCTAGGTTTTATTTCATTGTGTTTTATTTGATTTTATTTTGTGTGATAGTGTGGCTGACTCTTCTTAAGAAAATAAGAGACATTATAGTAGCCATTGTTCATTTCCTGTTATCTTGCTTTAAAGTTCTGTAAGGCTTTAATTCTCCTGTTTTGATTGATTTTAATCTGTTTCCTATGATTTCATTTATTATGTGTGAAGATATGGACAGCTATCTTGAAGAAAACAAGAGATGTTATGATAGACACAGTTGATTTTCTGTTGTCTTATTTTGTTGTCCTGCAATGATTTCATTCTTTTGTTTTGATTGGTTTTATTCTATTTTATATTGTTTAATTTTATTGTGTGTGAAGGTCTGGACAGCTATTTCAAAGAAAATAAGAGGCATTATGGTAGCCATTGTTGACTTCTCTTTGTCGCGTTTTGAGGTCTTGTGTTTCTTACATTGTTCTTTTCTGATTTACTTTATTCTGAATTCTTTTATTTTGTTTTACTCTCAGTAAAATAAAATATTTTTTAATTAGGAAGTAAAAGATGCAAACAAATCAGGTAAGCAGACCTATTGAGACATTTGAAGGAAGATGGGGAGTTTTTGTTGCTTTCATTTTTATAAGAAATGGCGAATTTTTGAAGGATTTCAGCAAGCTTAAAGCATGACTTAATAGACAGGAAACTGACTGTGTCAAAAAATAAAAGGAAAATCAAGCAATATTTAAAGTAGTTTGAACCAAGAAATGTTTTGATCCTGGGCTGGAACACATGTGCACATGAAACATATGATGGTGATGGGGTACTGAAGACATATTCCAATACCACAGGAGAAAAAAGTCAAATGGACAGTATGTATGATGGCAGAATACTCAGGATCATATAGACACACAGGAAGCAGAGGCTCCAGCCAATGTAAAATGGAAGTGAAGCCAGGAACTTTGACACTGCATAGCCTGTACTCTAAGCACTGTAAGAGCAGCCTATCTCCAGACTTCCTTCTCTCACATAAACCAATGACACAGTCCATCATGAATAAGGAGCAACTTCTTAAGAGTGTGTAACAGGGCACTTCTGCATCCATTTTCTATAGATAAATATCCGGTCATTATGTCTTTCTTTGTTGCACACACACATGTGATGCAGACAACACTCTGACATGAATCACGTGCGCAGAGATGTCTCATTTTTGAAATTGCCCATGGCCCTCTATAATGAAACATTGTATGCCAGTTTTGTTTTGTAGGTTCACCTGTTTTTGAAAGATGGAAAGTACATTCAAGGAAATTGTTCTTCTTCAAGGCTTACATCCTATCAGTGATTATCATTTTCGAATGATAAAGTCCTTACTGGCCAGTGAGTTAAAACTGAAAGGAAGCAAGTATGAAGAATATGACAAAATTAAATTTGCTGACATGATGGCAGAAAAGTTTCCAAGTGATGCAGGACTGAGAAAACTGATTTCATTCTTCAGTAAGATACCAGAGCTTGAAGACACTGCTGAACTTCTCAAAAAGCAGAAGGCAAAAGGTAATATGGTACACCCTCTGACACACTGTCCAGAGCCCCAGGTTAGTCATGATCAACGCTTCCCCACTCTATTCCTCAGTATCAATATTAATGGTGTTGGTTCAGTTACCAAGAAGTTCAAAAACAGGGAATTCCTCTCCTATTAAATGTTTCAATATATTTGAGAAGAGATTTTATGGAGGCTACAAAGGAAATGAAAATAAACAGAATGAATTATCAAGAAATCTAATGCTTCTGATGCACTAGAAAAATTGGAAAATAACAAAATAAAATTTGGGGAAATTATCTGCTTTACAATGGATACATTTTAAATGCATAGATTAATATTGCTTTTTTTCAAATATTTGTTCCATCATTAATATCTTCTCTGCAACAGATATGAGATCGTATTTAAACATAAGCTTGTGTCTCAGAGATGTCAATAACCTCTCTCTTATATATCTGGGTTTAAAACAATATGTCAAATGTCTAATTCCAGTATCTTCACTTTCTCACAGCATAAATGGAAACAAAATTTCTTCTTTGTTTTCTCAAATTGGGTAAGGTCTGCTGTAGAAGATGAACTTCTCTTAGCATCATGAAAACTATTGGTTCTTAAAAGGAACATGTAGGATAAGTTACAGAAAATCCATAGGGTGGGAAGACTGTTCAAATTGCACATGGATGTGCACTAAGACACTAAGGTTGTGCTTGTGTCATGATTGCCAATGAAGACTATGTAGAGGAAATGACTTAGACATACACACAGAAACTGAGAGGAAATAGCACAGACACTACTACGGCCCTCCCTTTAGTTTATTGTATTTCCTTTTACAGTATTAGATAAAAAGAAATGTACAGTAAAAGACAAAACTACCAGGAAGAGAAGCAAGCAAGATAAACTCAGTGCTGGTCGATCTACACTCACCACAGATGAAGATTACAAAAGAGAATCAGTTTTGGATGTGCCTTTGTCAAAGGTAGGCTGGCTAAGCTCCCATGGTCAAAACATGCTTACATTACTCTCATGTCTTACGTTTGGATAAACACTTAGTTATGTATTTAGTGAAAATGAAGTTCAGAGTCGGAAAATCCCTAGTTGTTTTTCTCATTTTGTTTCAGGAACCACAGTGCTATTTATCTTGCATAGTATAATTTCCTTCATAATATGAAATCATTACACCTTATTTAATTATGTAGTAACACAGCAGTCCGTTAGGAAAATGACTCACTAAAGCCTATTCAAAGAGATTATAACCAGGCTTGAGCTTTCTAAGCCTCTTTTTTATCACCACAGAAGGATAAAAGTGTAACATGTATAAAATGTTTTTATTCTGTATCAAGCAAAAATATGTCCTCACTGGGTACCTTCTGACCATGTCTTCAGAGGATGGATTGTAACTTCCTGGTGATTTCTAGAATGTAATTTTAGTATAATTAGAATCCAGTAATACATAGTTATTTCTCTTGGTATTTAAGAGTTATCTAACATTAAAACCATTATGAGGTAGGGTTGTAGCTCAGTGGTAAAGCCTTTGCTTTGGAAGCATGCAGCACTTTGGATTTGATCTTTATCAATGAAAAAGAATAATTACCCAGTGCTGGATCTGTTGGCCTTTGGAAAAACATGCATGTTTTGTTATTATAAGTCAAGAATTTGGTTTAATTGCTAGCAACAAAAACTAAAAACATAAAATAACAAGAGAAAAAGAAATAATTCCTTTGGACAAAGAAAACCATGAGAGACTGTAAATACCCTGTGCTAAGCGAAAAAAAGAAAAAGGTAGAAAAGAGAATTCATATCTGTGACCAGCAACTCTCATCCAACTCTCCTTTTTGTTATGTCATTTTTGTTCTCCTGTGATGGCCCCTATGGATGCTTGTAAACTGGGAATATGAAGGATACATCTAGAATGAATGAGCAAGATATTGATTGCCCAACGCTGCAGAAGAAAAAAAAGGTCAGAGCAGAAATTAAATCACATTTCTTGAATGTAGTTTGTAACTCAAGGAGCAAACATTGCTTTGGTTTGACCTAGGCTACATTCTTACTGCCGTATTTCCTCTAGCAAAGGGCCCCAAAGAATGAAGAAATTGAGCATTGTTTTATCTTTTTGGATTGTGATAAACAGCTATCATGAACGAATTTGAAAGGTTTATTTAGTAAGTTCATAATGAGTACTGACTTTCTTTGAGATTTACTTAACTTATAACATGAAATGATTTGTGTATCATAACCTTTGTGTTTGGTCAATCATTGTAAATCAGTATTCACTAGACATAGAACCCAGATTCCTCCAATCTAAAGCCATTGAAATATAATATGAGATCTTAATATATGGACAGTGATTTTTGGAATTCCAGATGGTTTGGGAGGAGGATAGGAGGTAAAGTTATACAATTATCCCTAGTATTCCAGAAAAGAATCATAAAGACCCTGTGCGAAAAGAAAGAAAAAGTATTTTGTGTGTGATGCCAAAATTTTTATCCAGAAATTAAGGAGAATATCTGTTTTCCATCAGAAAAAGGAAAGTTCAACCAAGAAAACAGATGACTTTGGAACAAACATGGAAGATCTGAAAATGGACGTGTTTGCAGAAACTTCTACTCCCACCACAGTTCTGCAGAGCTCTCCCATTCCTTCACCCAGCTCTTCCCTCAGCTCCTCAGCCAAGGTATTAGCTTCCTGTTCCCTTTCTCTTTTCCTCTTTAACATAACAACAGTGATCATTGAAAACTTCAAAGGGCTGCTTATCTAAATCATATTTAAATTTTTATTTTATTTAACATTCATCGGGTATATATGTTAAGCCTCTGATGGATTTAAAGTATGCAATTACCAAATTACTTCTGATATCAAGAAAGTTACTGCCTTGTATTGATTAGAGCAAGAGGGCAAAAGTGATTGGATGAGTACAAATGAGAATAAGTCTGTTCATTTCAACACATTCCAGTACTTTTCTTACCAGTTTTCTTTGCTCACTCACAATATTGCAGGTTCCTTTCCCACATTCCCTGCTGTTTCCATGTCAGATGTGGTGACATGCACTCTTATGGTTGGGAATCATTTCTTGTGGTTCACTTCTCGTTTACATACCTTCAGCATTAGGCACAAATGTGAATCTCTTCTTGCTGCACTGTCCATCACACCTCTTGTGAAAATGCATTACACATATGCATCACTTGCTCGTGGACTCTTTCATGGTTGTTTTTAACCATTTGACAGCTGTAATGCATGAATTTGTGTTTCCTTTGGACTAAACAGTGGGCTCAAACATAGGTACAATGCAAATAAAACAGAAAGAAGAGAAAGCGAATGCACAGGATAGGTTCAAACTCTGATTGCACTCTGCCATTTCTACCTAGACATGACTCATTTTAATTTTGCACTGAAAAGTAAATTGATGATTTCTGATTTAATAAGTAGACAACTTGATGAATAGACAAGAAAAAATCCATAGCAATGTTCTCATATGCAGTGTTTCATTGAAGCCTAAAGCCTGCGTGTAACTCAAAGTACGCCTTTAATCATCATTTCACTCAACAATGGAAGACAGTATTTCTGCATACAAGTTTTCACAACTTGTGATATATTTTTGTTTTTCACAAGGGATCCAGAAACCCATAACTCCTTGTGAAACTTTTATGTGAAAGAGCTAGCAAACTATTTCTGTTTACTTCTTGTGCCAGGTGGCCATGGATCCATGAAATAGTCATTGAAAACTCAAGTCCACTATTTCTCTTTTACTACAGTGGTATATGGATAGCCAAGAACAACTGTATGTTTTGTTTATATATATATATGCTTGAAAGTAGCACTTCCTAAGATCCTAGATGCTCAAATATATGATGATGTCCTGTCTGATAGATAAAAATCATTTTGCTCTTCTCAAATATGCTAGATCATGGGATCCAAGAATGACTCTTCTTCTTTCTTGGTCTCTCACACCTGACCACCTCATTTCTCACTTCAAATTCTGCCTCTTCTAAAAGAGTCCTCCAAAAGCAGTGTTCCTTATTAACCTATGTCCCATAGACTGGGTGAGGAAGAAAGCTTTGCAGTATATATTGTGAGATTTCCCAACTATTTGCTCTGGCCTTTGCATTCTCTTCATTCCTGGAGTCTAACCAAAACTCAGATCAATGTTATGTTTAGTTTATATTTTACATTTCCTTTGAAGTAGAAAACATATACAGCCATGATTCATTAAAAGGCTGAGGAAGTGAATGGATTCATCTTAGAGGGAATGAATAGCACAATCAATTACCATTTTAAAATATCATCCAGTCAAATAGTATGGAGTAGTTTAAACATCAGTCCTTGCTACTATTTAATTTAATTGATTTTGAAACAAGCAAGATGCACTTTAAGTGAGAGTAAATTGCCACAATTGGCAGGAGTGAATGAAAAACTTTCTTTGAGAAAGTTTTTTTGAACTACCATTATAGAGTTGTCATCAAAAGGATACACATAACACATGACATATTTGTGAAACACGGCAGCAAAATAAACCTCTGCATAGGCTAGATCATAATATTCATGTTGGTATTTGTATATATTGAGGAGAGCCTGAATTCTGCATTTTTCATTTAAATTATCACAATAGTTCTGTAGAATCATATCAGGATGCTTTTGTTATTTCTATTTGACATGAGAGGAAATTGAAGTCCACAGACTAATCATTTTTCACAAACATATATAAAAGTCGGACATACCAGTCCAATATTAGTGAATTCTAAAACTTATGAATTTAATGGGATATTTCATCTCCCCAATCAGAATAAATGTGTAACACTATCTTTAAAAGTATTTTTTCTAGTTTATAGGTATATAGTGGTGTTTTTTGGGTTTTTTGTTTCACAGCTGGTTTCTCTAAGCTTTCCAGTATGAATGAAGACCTATGAATGGTTAGAGAGTAGTCTAAAGACTAAGATATCACACACGAGGCAGGAATTTCAAACACAAATCTCATTGACAAATTCATCCACAAATCTTATCAACAGATGACATCTGATGAGTTAGCTGAATGAATGTTGTAAGTGGTAAGAACAATGGGAAATTGATGCTGGATATGGAATCTGAGAAATATGCATCCATTAGTTAAATTGTAAATAGTATAAATGCATTTACAGAGCTTCCCTACCCTTGCTTACACAGCATTAAAAACTTACTTGGAAGCATCTAATGCTCTCAGAACACATGCCTTTTTTGTAAAACCAAAGAATCTGTGGTCTAATGCATGCTACAAGGAGAGCAGAATCCTGTCTTTTTAAATAGGAATTTCAGGAACTTTCTTCAGCATGGCAAAAACATAATACTCACTGGATGGAGCACTAGGGCTTCTTGACCTAAACAACAATGATAGAAACTGACTTTATTAGACTAATATACAAACTAGTAAATGATATAGTTAATATATCTACATTATTTCAGTGAAAGTTTTTCTAAGTTTTACCTATTATGTTACATAGTTTAGTATTTTCTTCCAATTAAACACTCTTAGTTGAAGTTGACATAAGCCCCTTTACAACTCAGAAAGCTCTAGAGTCCATAAGGACTACCTGAATTCCAATTATCTGAGTTTTCAACTTTTACAGAATGAAGTTCATTGTACTGAATAAGGCTATAGCTGTAGAGGTATTGGGTTTATGGCACATGAGTATGTGGAATTGTTTAGAAATTGATAGCGAAATGATCCTGTAATTTATGTGTGTGTGTGTCAAGGAGAGAGATAGAAGGAGAGAGTTACAAATGTAGATATAAACACAGATACAGATAATGAAAAAGAAACAAAGGCAGAAAGAGTAGTGACAAATGCTATAATTCGTCTGATATTAAAAAACATTATATTTGGAGAAAGACAAAAAGCATTTTGCTTTAGAAAAGACAGGAAGTCATCATCAAAACCAATGGCTTTAAAAGCAGGAAACGTGCAAAAATTTGATAAAACCTCTACAACCTTGAACAGCCAGCACATGCTCATTAACAGTTGTCCTCAGAGCTTCAGAAACCTTTACCAACACAGTCAGGCAGTTCCATAACCAATACAAAAGCTCCCTATTTCCATTTTTTGTCTTCCTTACAACACAATTGAAAAGAACACTAGTATCTTCACAGAGTTTTTAATTGTGTGCTATGGTACAAATTGTTTCCTCCATCAAATAGCTCATTCATAGGCCAAAAGATCCTCCTAGATCCTAAGCCATAGCTATTTCAAAGGTATCTGTCCATAACTCCCAACCTCAAGTGAATTATCATCCTATGCTGGTGGAAGAGTACAGGCTGTGGGAATGAAACTATAAAGGATCACTGTATACAAAAGAGATATTTATCTCCTACTTTCCAGTTTCTTTTAAATTCTTTACTTTTTGCTCTTTTACCAGATACCAGCGTATAGTTTCTGCATCCATGATCTGAACCACATGAAATATTTTTATATTTCTTTTCCTCAATGTCAAATTTCCCCATCTGTACACCACACTAATTCTCACTGATACCTTCCTTTCCAAATGAAGTAAATATGCCAAGTGTTTGCCTCCACAGATTCCTTTATTACTTCTTTGCAGTATTTATGACAATTATAATAAGTTTATATCTTTCTTCCCTGAAAAAGGAATCCTTTAGTACCCAGATAAAAGTATGCTGTCCCAGGGAAGGACAAGACAGTGCTGGAGAGTGAGCACACACTTGTGTGTGTCAACTCTTACTCCAGTTTGCTTGTAGTTCCACCCTGCTATGGCAAGTGTTGCCCTACAACCGGGGGCTATGAAGACTATCTGAATAGGCAGAAAGGATTTCCCCTGAAGGGATTCAGTCATAGGAGAGGATAACATTTCAATCATAATTCTCCAGTGTGGTTTCCTTCCCCGGATCCAAGCTGCCCACCCACAGCTCTGCTTCACAGAAAGTAACTGAGGTCAAGCTTTATGAACTCAGGTTTTCTCAGACTAAAATTTTTAAAAATTTTCTGTTATTAGTTCCAATAATCCACCCCCCACCCATAGTTTCTTCTGATTTTTACAAGTAGAGCTACTTGTCCTTGTCTATTACCATTTAGGACTTATTGGCTTTGTACAAAGTCCGTGTCTTGTCAGTGTAATCTCAGGACATTCTCTCTCTGCCGTGGCAGTGACATACTGTGCATATACATCTCAATCTAGCTCCACATTTTCCATGCATATTTATGAATCCTGATTCTATTCCTTACTTATGAGTAACACTTCCTAAGAGTTTGCTTCCCTAAATAAGCAACATGATAATTTCTATTCCTAGAAAAATTATTCTACTGTTCTGAAATCTCCTTGAATCACAGAAACCTAGATATGTCTTCTTCACCCTATACACCTAAATTCACCATGCAGTCAAGTCTTCTTTGGGATTCAGCCAACTTCACGTGAGTCCTGCAAAGAATGTGCCTGACAACTCTTAGTGCATGCAGCAGTATTTTGATAGTCACTATGTATGCAGGAGTATTTTCTCTGCCATAGTTTCTCTGAAACATTTTCTATGATATTATTCCTTTATTGTTTTTGCATTCAAAATCAGGAATAGTCTCTTGCCATTGATTCCTTCATGTATGTGTCCCTGAAGCAAAAGCACAGGAAAAAGTATGGTTTCTAAATAGAATGGAATAATAGAAAATTTAATTAGAGTAAAATAACTACTAAAACTTTACAAATATTCAAGCAAACATTGTGTTTTTGGCATCTAAGCACTGCTATTGTGATGACAGTTTAAGACTTAACATGTTTTTCTTAAAAATACAGCTCAAAAAATATCATAGTTGAAATTTCATTATTATACATGGCAGAATCAGAAAGACTTCTTATATGTTTTTCATTTATCATCTCCATATGACATTTATATGAAGAGAATAATATGTGAAATACATTTTCATCAGAGTAGATATACAAATCCCTAATAGATCTTTGAAAAATGAAAATAAAAATATTTCTGCTCATTGAGCATTTATTTAGTGCTGAGATCTGAAATATTAGGTTATATGAATATACATACACGTATAAATACTCATTTAGTCTTTATAAAATTATAAGTAAATGTTAATGATGGTCCCATTCCATATATGAGAAAAGAAGAATGCACAGAGATCAAAATGTTTCACAGGTCATACACGTACTAGATACTAGAGCCAGAATTTCAGTGCCCCTACAGTGAATCTAAAAGCTAATTGAATGAAAATGATTGAACCCAAAGTAGGTATACAAATGCTGAATCCCATGCAATTCATTTGTGAATAATTTCTAATAGAAGGAGTTATGCCTTGATACTTTGGAGTGCTTGGAGATCTCCAGGTGAGGCACTTTAGTGGCTGACACTTTAAATGAGTAGACCAGTGAATGCCAAACCTGGAAATTCCTGAGACAAGTGGTATAAATGTCATGAATATTCAATAGTATTTAATCAGTGTAACTGAAGACAGTCAAGGTGTGTGATTTCAGAGATACTTCCCAGTGTTACATGGAAAACGTAATGAAAGGTAATGCTTTTAGTAGGATTTTAAATCCTGTGAAGCCTATAAAATCTTGAAAATTTCTCATTGCTTCAGCAACTCCATAAAGAGAGGTGAGGAACTGTGGATTTGAGGGACATTTCCTGCTGTGTTTATGATCAGAGGACCAAAAGGATGGAGACTAAGATTGCCTCTGCATCAAATAGCACAGACTAGGAACAGCTTTGTGCATTTGCTTGGTTGGGAAAACTGAATCAAGAAATGGCCCTGATTGTGATTAGCTTTGCTGCAATTAATGCTTCCTTCAAAATAATCCAAGAAGTTGGCCTAAACAAATGGTCTTGTCCAACTGGTGGAAATTGAGAGCCAGTATTCAATTGCAGGCCAAGGAAATTTCAAGCATTTAAGTTTTTGGTGTTTAGAATGTGCATTAGAAATCCTGATTGAGATAGAAAGAACAAAGTTAATGGAGCTATCTAAGTAAATGCTGTTTAAGTCAATACATGCTATTCCTCCTGCCACTCAGGAGGAAACTGGCAGAGTGCAGTTTTTAATTTAAAAAGGAAGGATATATGCAAGAGATTTTCTAAAACAACCAAAAACAATAAAAGCTTATTTTTCTACAGGAAGAGGAAAACACAATCACCAAAAGAGATAACTCCACTAAGACATTAGAGATTAAAGGATCAACAAACATCATACCTCATACTGGGAGCTGTCTCCAGACCCCTCCAAAGCCTTCAGTCACATCACTCAGCAGTCTGCATATTCCTCAGAGGCAGCCAACTCCCTCCAATAGTCAGCAGTCTCCTCAGATGCTTCCAACCACAGTATTCACCACTGGGAATTCTCCACACACTTCATCCAGAGCAGTCCAGACATCTCAGTTACATCCAAAAACACCATCTTGCAGTCTTCAGACTCATGAGACCATTGTGACACCCCCCAGTGGTGTCCAAATTCTTCTGTTGCCTTCCACAACATCATCCAGCAGTCTCCAGATTCTGCAGATGCCTCCAGTAGCATCCAGCAGTGTACAGACTCCTCAGAAGCCTCCAACAATACCATCCTGCAGCCTGAAAACGTCTCTGAGGCCTCCAAAAATATCATCCAGCAGTCTCCAGATACTGCAGACGCCTGTAGTAGAATCCAGCAATTTGAAAACTCCTCAGAAGTCTCTGACAACATTCAGCAACCTGATAACTCCTCTGAAGTCTTCAAAAGCACCATCCAGCAATCTCCAAATTCCACAGACACCTCCAGTTGCATCCAGCATTCTACAGACTCCTCAGAAGCCTCCACCAACAACATCCAGCAGCCTGCAACCTACTCTGAAGCCTCCAAATGCACCATCCAGCAGTTTCCAGACTCCTCAGATTCTTCTAGCAACATCCAGCAGTCTCCACACGCCTCAGATGATTCCAGCAACAACGTCCAACAGCCTCTTAACCATGGTGAATTTTCTGTTCCTACAATAGAGTGCCTGAAATTGGTAGGGTGTTTGAAGTTTTTCCCAGTAATCCCTTATAATATCTAATGATTTACTTCATCAAATCGTATTGAGATAGTAACTCTAAATTTGAATTTTAACTCTTATTATGCCTTATACATTAAGGTTAATCTGCAACTCTGAGTACCTAATGATGCCTGCTTCAAAAAAAAAAATATTATTAGACAGTCATTTAACTTTAAGTGTTAACTTTCATTTTTGTTTCGATACACCATGAAAGTGATATCTTATTGTAAAATAGTATGGGAAATTAGAGAGCCACACAGAATTTATCACATACTATTTTATTGTCACTTTTGTTACACCAGTATCACTTAGAATGTGGAAAATAAGTGGATACATAGATAAAAGTATTAAGTAAATTAGACTCTATAAATCTCTCCCATCAAACACCTCAATTCATCATGGAGCCTTTTTTTATTTTCTCTATATTATGTAGGAATACTTTTCTTTCATATTGGATATTATTACATGTGGCTACTTATGATATCTTTAATCACTTACGATATCTTGAATTGCAATTCAACCAATCAATAGAGATTAAAATAATTTAATTGCATGTGAAAATTACATTGTTATTCTATACATTATAAAAATAACTATATTAATTGATAAAGATTTTTCTCAGCATTCTCTATGCCGTCAATGAATTTAAAAAATACATGTACTTTGGATCATGTTTTATCATTCATACAGAGAGTTATAATTTCTTTCCTAAGTATCAGGATGTTAATGTCACTATTGTACGATTCTCTGTTATTGGCTAAATTGTACAGAGAATGAACTTTCCTGATGTGACAAAGCATTTGACCCCATGGAGAACTACCCAGAGTTAAGTCCCCTCACTCACATTGCAAGGTCTTCATGAGTTTTCAGCTTGGAATCACAGTGAGCTACGCTGGACTCTGGAGGCAGTGAGCCTGTCTTTATTCACTAGTTTCCAGGATTCCCAAGTTTGCCTCCACACTTTCCTTTCTAGATCATCAGCCTCTTGCCAAACACTAGATTCTCTCCTGAAACTCTAAAGTGTTGCAGGCATCTGCAAAGACAGGTGTTCAAAGCAAAGTTCCTTAAAGCCTAACTTCCATACCTATGATACTCCTCAATGCCTTCTCTTAATCAAGCTGAGAGCTTCTAGCCAGGACCCATCCAGTTCAGGACAGTTCTTGAGTTCTTCTAATAGCTGCCATACTAACTCTTATGAAAAAGAGTATTAATTTCTTGGAAGGGCTATGTCTTTTAAAATGCTCCTGTTCATTAGGATTAGAACAAGCTTCTATTACTCTCTAACATTTTTTTCACTTCCTCTATAAACTAAGTAATATCATGTGGGGCACTCTTTCTCATAGTCCCCTAATTAATGTGTTATTTGAGCTTAGACCTTGATATTGAGATGACTCTCACTATACTGTGACTGTACTGCCTTAATTAATTGTGTTTGTGTGTTCTTGTTTACTGTCCAAGTAGAAGCCAAGCCCAAAGTATGAACCTGCTGAAGAAAATGGTTACCAATCAGGTCCCAAAGAAGTGATGGTGTTGAAAGTGACAGAACCATTTACGTACGTGGTTACACAAAGTGAGCATAGGATGATTCACGCCACAGTGGCTACTGAGAACGCATTTTTCCGAGTGAAGGTTTTTGACATGAAATTTAAGGACAAGTTCATCCCCAAAAATATCATTGCCATATCCAATTATGTTGGTCGAAATGGTTTCCTGGAGATAAACAAATTCTCAAGTGTGTCTAATGTGAGTGCTGATCGAAAGATGAACATCATCCCTGCTCTGATTCAGCAAGCCAAAGCAACTCCTAAAATCAGCCAGCTTGGATCACAAAGTAAAGGAAAATATGTGAATGGGATATTTCTGGTGTGTAAGGTAAGCCACAGCATTAATTTGTAAAATCTTTTTCTGCAATTCCAGATTTTAGAGTTATAACCTGCCAACTACACTTTGGCCAGTTTACTGAACTCAAGAAACACGCTCTCTTGTCCAGGACAGATGAGCAGAGTCTCCCATCTTCTGACTCTGGGATACATAGGTTCTTAACATTCCTCTACTCTAGCTATCACCACACAAATTTAAGAATGAGATTTCCCAAAATCCTTAGTATTTTATCAGCTATGCTGATCAATTCATAGTCATCCTGGTCCAGGATGGTACATAGCATCATCTGTGTTTGTGACAACTGAATTGTGAATGAAGAATTGCACCCTATCAATTGGCTCTGCTTGTAATGTCCAGAATAAGAAATCAAAGTACTAGTCTTTCCTGGAAAAAAAAACTGTGTCCAACAGTAAGCCTTGTACTCTAAGCTGATCTCACATCTTCCCTTTCTTTATTTTTCAACAACAGATTTTTGAGCAACTGATTTCTGCCGTAATAATGAGAAATATAGAAGGAGAAATTAGAGTAGAGGTGGCACACATATAGAAAGCATTCCAAGGCAGGCATGCGGGCCTTCTATCAGCTCATCCACAACGTTGCCTCAGCATCATCTCAGCAACTGAACATTATAGTTTAATTTTTATGTTGGCACTTGGTGAGAAATAAGTGGGTTTTGGGTTTCAGTTTTGACAATCTATAAAAGATTCGCCAACATTGTACTATAGAATTGTACTATATCTCTGAGTTTTAAATAGGGATTATAAATTGCAAAGAAGTGTGCAGAATTCTTAGACTTAGGGTACGTCTTTCTGTCCACATACTCCCAGAAATGGTATGCTTAACTCTCTCAAGTATTATTTCACATACAATTATATTGTGTTTGAGGGTGGTATTTTACTTTCACCCATATTATTTCCCACACATTCTATTTAAATGACTTAATGCACATATTACATTTGTATAGTAAGTGTGATACAAAACAATAGGACAGATGAGCTAGATTTAATATTTGAACAGTTTCCAGAAACATAAATAAATGGAGAAATTAGAAGAAGTTATGTTTGAGAATGTGTAATCCATTTCATGAAAATTTGCAGTAATCATTTCAATTCCCCAGTAAGGTTTAAATGGTCTTCCTTCTTTGTTCTTGTGGAGATATAAATCAATAAACTCAAAAATAATCAGACTTATTTCTAGAGTCCTAAAGAAATCTCAGATATGCTGATTTGGAAGCATTATAAGTTACAAAATAAGTTCCTCTGGGAAAGTTTAGGTGATAAAGACTTTATATAAAGAGAGGCTCAGGCAAGTTTCAAAATAGAGGATTTCCTTATGCATTTTGGTATTTCTAATCTTGAATTTGCAGTTCAGTTTATCTTGTTGGAAAACAGCATTTCCACTCACACTGTCTATTTCTCATAGAAGTGAGAATGTCTTATACATTTCTCAGAAGGTACGTGTTAATATTCTTTTTCAGAAACAAGTGAGACCAGAATGTATTTATTATGAAATACAAGATAATACAGGAAAAATGGAAGTATTTGTACATGGACGCCTGACCCATATTCACTGTGAAGAAGGAGATAAACTTAACCTCACTTGCTTTGAAGTAGCCTCAAGTTGGAATGGCTGGCAGCTGAGATCTGTGCTCCATAGTCACCTCAAGGTAAGCATTTTAAGGAAGCATCATTCTTCCTAATGCAAACTTATATTTTTTTATTATGTGCTTTAGAAAACTAAACTGCTGCCATTATATACAGTTCAACCTGGTAAAGATTATCTTTGCCTGTTCTTGTATGCCAACTAACATTCTTTCCATCTTCTTTTCAATAACAGTATTATAATAATAGTGAACAATAATTCAGAGACATTCAAAACTTTTATCCTAAGCTAAATAATAACTATTTATCAAAACAAAAATATAATTTAATGAGAATTTAGGTTTAATTAAGGAATTTTTTTTTGTATTTTGACTTTATTTTTTCCAGTTGGTTAAAGATTTCAATACCAGGGATCTCAATGTCATCATCTATGAAAAAGGGAAACATTTTTTGTCACAGTTCATCACCAGCGTTCATAACAAATGTAAATTACCAAATATTCTCTAAGAGAATCATAACACAAAGGTACCTGCCTTTAGAGAAATGTTATAGGATAAAACCCACTGTTTATGTCATACTAATATAAACATTCATGTGCATTCATAGAACACTAACAACAGCTAAGAGTGGAATGCAAATCAAGCAGATCAAATGTAATTGTAAATTAATCAGGCATACACAAATGCATTTGTGCCTAGATTTCTCCAGTTCTAGTTTTACCCCTAGTAAAATCTTCCAGATTTGCCACATAGCAGATACAGCAGGAAGTGCTCTTCTATACTTGACTCACACTCCTGCCCGATGAGAATGCTCCACCCAGCTCTTGCCATTTTGGCTACACCAGCCCCTCTCTTCTGTCCTTTGTCCTACTCTACCACCTATGCTCCTGTTTGACAGGAATAATCAACACACTTCTTGGTCCCAAGAATAGGGTGGGTGTGACTCCAAGGACAGGTACTCATGAAAAGATACACAGGGAGAAATGCAAGAAAAGAGATGTGGCCCATAATTGTGGAAGGTAAGTCTCCACAATATTTTGAAAAGCTTCTTCTAAAACCTCAGATTTTGAGAGAATGGGAAAATGTATGAGCAGCTGCATAGCAACTAATCCATCTTTATCAATGTTTTCTTTAAGGTCATCAAAGCCAGGAAAAACAAGATATAGCCACTCGATTCTTATTCAAACGTGAAAACTTTATTGGAGTCCAAAAACCTGGATGCCACTGATAATGATGTTGATGGAGGTACAATCCACATTTAGGAAGAAAATATAGAAGATCCAAGTTTATGAATAAAATACATTTTAAAAATCAGCTCTTGCCTGGTCATGGAGATACATTCCTAAAATCCAAGCACTTTGGGAAGCTGAAGTAGAAAAATTAAAATTTTATCACAGCTTAAGCAATTTAGAGATTTAGTAAGATCCTGTCTCAAAGACTCTGGGTTCAATCCTCACTACCATCGACAAAAACAAATAAACAAAAAAACAAACGACAAAAAAATATGGTCATAAACAAACAAACAACAAAAAAAAAGAACAGAAAAGAACACAATCAAAAAGCAACTTTAAGAAGATTTTTAAAAATACATTTAACTTATTCCTTTTGCATTTTTAGACTCTATATTCCATATTTTGAATCTACAGTTTTTTAAAATTTGAAGAAAATAAACATCTGTTTTTAAAGCCATGCTTCTCCAGGAGTCTCTTTACTCTATATTTCATTTTCTTTTAAGCAAATAGTTATAGCTCACAAATCAAGCTTGGGCACCCAGACTAAAATCAATATTTCACTTTTCACTTTGGGTATGATCTTTAAAGCTTGGACCTTCTGAGACATAAACAAGCTATGTTTTGTTCAGAGAAACCAGGCTAAAAGGCAGGTGGAGCTGAAATCCATTCTGAGTTTCAACTGTCAAGAACAGGGAGGGTTAAATAGGTCAGGACAAAAGATCTTTTCAGAATTTATCTCCTGGAGGTAATGCATTGCCTACTTTTTCTACCAAATGTGTATGAATGTACTTACTAGTTAGAAGACATTCTGATTCTGTCTGGTGTCAGGTATTTGATTCCAGTTATTTACCCTCACACCAGTGACTCTTCAATAGTTCTTTCACCTCTGTTACTGAATTTCACACTGCACATGTTTTGACCCATCAGTACTCTCTCCCAGGTACATTTGGTTTAGGTCAATGCTGAAGCTGATTTTCAATAACAGAAGCAGATATGTTGAATTAAATTATACTGTTATATTTAGTTATCACATATTTGATACCTGGTATTTTACAGTTATTGATGTCACTCATCTTTTACATTAGTTCTAAACACTTGATAGTATTTTTTAACTTTTACCTCTATCATAGGGTTGCAAAAAGAAACACAACAATAAAGTCACTTTTTAAATGATACTTCAGTGGTAAGTTAGAGATTGATTTAGAATCTAAGCTATTCCAATTTGAGGTACATCAAAGGGAAGAGTGTGAAGATGAGGTCAAAATTTTGAGACATAGAATAGAGAAATTCTTAGCCCATCTGATGACTTAAGGGAGATTTTCATACATGATGTCTCCAGGCCAAAGAACACATGTGTTGAGTCCCCAGCACTGAACATGCATTGGTTGTATCCCAGCACACAGTAAAGCTTGAAACGTCACTCCCAGGCATTAAGACCACACCTCGCATCCAAAATCATCGGAAGACACAAGGGAGATATCTGCAAGACTAACTGGGCCTTGCCCAGTGAACTCCTAGCAGCTAGCAGGGGTCTGAATTCAGTCCCAAGCACTGAATGTGCCTGGGTTGAATCCTAGTGCACAGGGAAACCTTGGAACTTCATTTCCAGGGGGTAACACCACATCCCACATACAAAATCACCAGAGGATGCACAGGAAGAACCCACAGGCCTAACTGGGCCATGGTCAGTGAATTCCAAGCAGCCAACAGTTTTCTGTAGTCTGTACCAGGAGCAAAAAGTGGGCCAGGTGATTCCCAGTACATGGGAGAAGCTTGAAACCCAGAAATATGGAAAAATAATAAAACAAAAGAGCAAAATGCAATCTCAAACTTCCAGCCCAATCCAAGAAAGCATAGGAGACACTGACAAAGAAGAAAATATAAGCCATACACTTGAAATTGCTGAAATGGTAACAAAAGAAATAAAGAAACAACTCTGGGAAGCTATAAAGAACTCAGATCAGAAATAGTTTCCCAGGTAAAAGAACAAATGATAAAAGTAATGAAAGAAATGATGAACACTTCTAAAGAATACATAGTTAAAAAATTAGAGTAATAATGCAAAAAGATGGAATCCCTGCATGAACAATATAAGAAAACAGAATACATGAAGTAGATTCAAATATACAGGAAAAAAGTTCTATCAAAAGATGCCAAAACCACCTCAATGAAAGTGGAGATAGAATTTCAGACTTCAAATACAAGATTGCAGCTAGTGAACAGAAAAGAAAGGACTTTTAAAAATAACAAGGAATCAGGAAATAAAAATTCGACACATGCAACGCAATGCAAAGAAAAACAACATAAGGTTGATAGATGTAAACAAAAAAGAAAGTTACAGCACAAATGATATCAAGAGACTACTTACAGAAGTAATAGCTAAAAACTTCCCAAACATAAGAATGGAAGCTGGCATACAGATCAGTGAAGTATATAGAACTCCAAATAGCAAAAATAAAACTACACCCAGACATATAGTAATCACCATCCCAGAAATTCAACATAAGAACAGAATATTAAAAGCTGCTACACTGAAGAGACAGATCATCTATAAAGGAATGCCTATCAGATTCAAAGCAAACTTCTCAAAACAAACAAGGAAGTCAAGAAGAGCATGGAGTCAAGTACTCCAGATCCTAAAGGAAAATGACTTCCAACCCAGACTGATGTATCCTGAAAAACTGTCCTTCAAAATGGATGGAGAAATAAGATACTTCCATAACAAAAAGCTGAAGTATTTCATGACCACCAAACAAATCCTGAAAAGAATACTGAATGACATTCTAGACAGACATAGGGGAAAAAACCACTAAGCAAGGCAAACAATTAAACAGAGTAGAAAGGTAAAGAATCAACAGAAAGATGACATGTCAAAAGTAAACCAATGTATATCACTTATAACCTTTAATGTAAATGTAAATGGTCTCAACTCACCAAATAAAATAAACAGACTGGCATAATGGATCAAGAAACAACATCCAACTGTATGCTGTCTACATGAAACCCATCTAGCCCAAAAGGACACTCATAGACTGAAGGTCAAATGTTGGAAAAATACACTCCGTGCAACAGCAGTCCACAGAGAAAAATTTATTGTGGTGAACTCCCACATCAGCAAAACAGGACAAACACAATAAGAAACCTTATGCTACACCTCAAACATCTAAAAAAGGAAAGCAAGTCAAATACAAAAGGAGGGAAGAAATTATTAAGGTCAGATCAGAAATCAATGCAGTAGACACTAAGAAAACAATACAAAGAACCAATGAATCAAAGAGTTTGTTCTTTGAAAGAATAAATAGAATTGACAGGCCTCTAGCCAACCTTATTTTAAAAAGGAAAGAAAAAACTCAAAGTCATGCAATAAGGAATGAAAAGGATGAAATCACTACAGACCCTATGGAAATACAAAAGATCATCAACACATGAAAACTCTACTCTCATAGGCTTGATAACACAGAAGAAATGGAGAGATTCCTCAAAACATGAATTACCAAAGCTGGGTCAAGAAAATACAAAACTGCCGAATAACCCAGTTTCAGTTAATGAAATTGAAAATGTAATTAAATCCCTACCAACGAAGAAAAACCTGGTTGCAGACAGATTTGCTGTGGAATTCTACAAGAAATTCAGTGAAGATTTAATGCCAATACTACTCAAACTCTTCAATGAAACTGAAAGGGGAACAATTCTCTATAACTCATTCTTGGAAGTAAATAGTATTCTAATGCCGCAACCTGAGACAGGCCCAAGCAAAAACGAAAAACACAGGCCAATCTCCCTAATGAACATACATGCAAAAATTCTCATTATAATATTGGCAAACAGATTGCAGCAAATAATCAAAAAGATGATACACCATGACAAAGTGGGATTCATCCCAGGAATGCAGGGATGGTTCAACATACACAAATCAATAAATGTAATACACCATATCAGTAGAGCTCAAAAAAAGAAACACACGATCATTTCTATAGATGCAGAAAAAGCTTTTGATAAGTGCCAACACTTGATCATGATAAAAGCCTTACAGAAAATTGGAATAGATGGTCTTTAACTCAATCTGATAAAAGCCATCTGTGACAAAGCAACAGCCAGAATCACATTAAATAGCTAAAAACTGAAAGCCTTTACCCGAAAATCAGGAATAAGACAAGGATGTCCATTATTATAACTCCTATTCAATATAGTACTGGAAATACTAGCCAGAGCAATTATACAAGAGAGAAAAATTAAAGAAGTAAGGATATGAAAAATAGAAACTAAATTATCATTATTTGCAGATGACGTGACACTCTACATAGAAAACCCTCAAAACTCCCTTGAAAGGGAGACTTATAATAAATACATTCTGCAAGTTAGTTGGATAAAATGTCAACACTCAAAATCAATAGCATTCATATACACAAACAACAAAATCACTGAGAGAGAAATACAACAAGCCACCTCCTTCGCAATAGCATCCAAAAAAATGAAATACTTAAGAAATAATCTAACAGAAGAAGTAAAAGATCTTTTCACAGAAAATAGTAATACCCTGAAAAATAAATTGAAGAGGGTCTTATAAATTGGAAAGACATTTATTGTTCATAGATAGGAAGAACAAACATTGAGAAAATGGCCATTCTTCCAAAACTGTTACACAGATTTAATGCAATCCCAATCAAAGTGCCACTAGCATACCTCATAGATCTAGAGAAACCACTCTAAAATTCATCTGGAATCAGATGAAACCCAGAATAATAAAGACAATTCTAAGCAACAAAGGCAAGGCAGGAGGCATCACAATTCCTGACCTGAAGTTATACTACAAAGCTACTGTAATAAAATCAGCATGGTACTGGAATAAAAACAGACCTGAAGGTCAGTGGAATAGATTAGAAGATACAAATACAACTACAAACCCACTCATCCACCTTGCCTTTGACAAAGGGGTCAAATATGTTTACTGAAAGAACCATAGTCTCCTTTTTTGTATTTTAATGTGATTAAGACAAGAGGACAGAACAAAGCATATCAGAATAGAACAATGTAAGCAGCACAGTATTTCACCATAAGATGATGAACAGTGGCTACCATAATTTAGTCTTTCTTTGAAATAGTTGAGTATACCATCACATGTAATAGTATTAAGCATAACAAAATAGTATAAAACCACTCAGGAAAATTAAAGTATTACAGGGCATTCAGAACCAAATAACAGAAAATGAACAATGGCTACCATATTATCTTATTTTTCATAAAAATTTTGTTTATACTATCACACATATTAAAATACAATAAGATACAATGTGACAGAACCAATGGAAACAGAACAAAAGCATGGTAGTACTTTAAAGCAAAATGATATTAAATCAGCAATGGCTGTCATGATGTCTTGTTTTCTTCAAAATAGCTGTTCATACTATCACGCATAATAAAATAAAAAAAAACAGAATAAAACCATTCCAACTAATG